GGTGGTGGTGGTGGTGGAGACAATGACGACTTGGATTCTAATGTTGAAATTGATGCACTAATGTAGTTTGATTTCTATCATTTAGACAGTTTGTTTTAGTTGTGGCAATTTGGATCGTTAAACTTGCGTTTTGGCATGTGATTTTTGTTATTGTGGAACTTAAAGTTGGATTCTATTATTGTGAATTTATTATTTATGTTTTAGTTGTGAGTTGTGGCAATTGAATTGTTAAACTTGTGTGTGGCATGTGATTTTTGTTATTGTGGAACTTAGATTTGCATTCTATGATTGTGAACTTATTGTTTAGGTTTTAGAATTTGTTCCAAGTTTGTTAAATTAGATTACTAGCATGAGTATTGACATTTTTAAGTGAGACATATAGCTCGCTTAAGTCTAATAAGATTATACACAAAAACCTATGTTTTACGCTACATTTTTACGTTTTACGCTTTTACTCAGGTTTCCGCTTTTACTTAGAAACGTGTATTTGACTACATTGGAGGAAACACACCTCTACCTCCGCACAAGCCGTCTCTTTACTCCACCACTCTTCATGTCGAGCCGCCAAACTCGGTGCTGGTGAATCCGGAGCTCATTTTGCTGGAGGAAAGGAAATATGAGTGCGGATGGTGGAGAACTTAGTAGAGGAAGAAAATATCTCGAAGCATACTGCGTCGGAGGTTTGCATCATGAACGTTAGCATAAGCGAGAGGGCGATAACGAATGCAACGATGATAGACGACAAAGGATAAATGATGTATTTTCGACGGTGGATTTGGGTCCCACCCATGAAGGAGCTACCGGTAGTGGGGAGGTAACTGACTCAATGATTTGATCGTTTTCTGGTGAAAAGGAATTAATTCGTCGGTGGAAAAGTGAGGATGATTCATCATAGTAATAGTAGGGAGTCAAGTATTAATCTAGTGGTAAGAAAACAATTGAGACCTGAATCGAGTTTGAGATGGCCCGTTATGCACAAATCTACCATAGGGGTGCGAGTGCATGGAACGGGTCGATTAAGAGGATGAATCAATTGCTAGCTAGGTTGGGGTAAGAATGACCTGCCGAAATCAGTGCCAAGGTTTCACTTGAATGTTTCATCTATATTCCATTGTTTTGTTGCAAATAATGATTTTTTTATTTTAATTACTTAAGACATCGCCAAAGTAACCAATCAAACGTTATAGTGAACTGCCACATAGATTGAATATAGTGGAATTGGATTGTTAGTGACCAAATATGAAATGTAATTTAAAGTGAGTGACTAATAAGAAAGAAAAAAAATTAGATGACAAAACATAAAAAATATTGACAGATCTAGTGACCAATGGTCCAATGTAGTCAAAAGCGCACTTCTACGTAGAAGCCTTTTGGTGATTAAAAAGCGTAAAACTGTAAGCTTTTAAGCTTAAAAACACGTTTTAAGTTTAACTACATTAGCTATAAAAACTGCAATTTTGCCAAAAACATTTTGGTGACCTAGATACGTAAAAGCGTAAGTTTTTAAGTTTTAAAGCGTGATTTTGACTACATTGACCAAACGTGTAATTCACCCAAAAGAAAGTGCATTGGTTTCTATGATATAGTAGGTGTGGAAGTAGACCAGCATTTCTATTGAAAAATAGCGTGTTTTCAAGTCCATGCCCAAGTACTTATTACATCCTGGGTTTAATGGTCAGACCGGTTTAGCCTAATTTATCTAAATTTATGAAAAGTCATTATATTTTTGTATTTGATAACCCAGGAACATCAGTAACCCACATGCCACATTTGTGACAGTGGGGGCCTACTAAACCTGGGGGTACCTGCATACTAACCATCAAGGACTTTATCCCGGCGCAGTGCCCGATGTTCTACTACCGTCATCGGAGAGACTTCATTTCCTCTACCAAGGGTGCCTCCAGGAACACCAAGAAGGCGGTGGTGGGATTCGAACCTGGGACCTTGTCACATTCCAAACCTGAAACTTAGCCCTTTACCAACCAGGCTATCTTACCATCGGCTGAAAAGTCATTATATTATTCATACTTTTATAAGTTATATCGAATCTCATGTATAATATGGATAATAACATATAACATTACACCAAAATGACAGTTCACATATAGAGAAAAGTCAAATGAAACACCTGAACCCGATCAGGTATTACTTTTACTAAAATGCCCATGATAAATAAAATACTCAGATCTTAAATTGCAGCGGGAATTTTTTTTCATAAAATAAAATACTGAAAACGCACACTTGTAGTTCAAAGCAAAGCCTAACACGTGGGCAAATTAAACTCAAACTTTAAAATCTCAATTTGATCTCCAGTCTATACTCATAATCATAAAATGTAAATAACTAGGTAGCCTCTGTCGTTGCTGCTACTGAAAATCTTAACTAGGCATCCTCCGTGACGCTTGCACTGCCCTCCTCTAGCTGGCTGCCCTCGAACTTTTCCTCTCGAACTCGCTGCTCTCTAACTGCTCCTCTAGCTAGCTGCTACCGATCTGGTTCTCGCTCATTCCCTTGCTAAGGCCTGGGGAGTGAGTTGGGGTCCGTCTACGCCCTTACGTTTTAAACTTTCTAATAATGTTGCACTTCTTCTCAAACACTTAAACTCAAACTGAGGGAAGTTGTTTGTACTTCCATTCTTAAAAATCTTAACTCTTAAAACTGCATGGGAGTAACTGGTACTCTCCATTCTTAAAGCTTAAATCTCAACTTAAATACTTGACTGACACGGGGATCCCTCACTAGCTAGTCCGGTTGCCAACTCATACGTATGAGAAGCCATCCAAGCTTTGGAAGGCTCTTCTTCCACGATTCTTAAGAGCATATCTGCTGCTCATCTTAAAATCTCCCAAGAGCATAACTGTTGCTCATCTTAAATGTCCCAAGAGCATAACTGCTGCTCATCTTAAAAGTCTCAAGAGCATATCTACTCTATATGAAAATCTCAAAGGGCAACAGACTGGCGCTAGTGACTAAAACCACTTAAAACAACTATATTATTATAGTAAACTACCCTCAATCCTTTATCCTATTAAAGGAAAGAAATTACCTCGACACCTTCTTGAAGGTGAGTTACTTCTTAAAAAGTACTTGTTCTTAAACTTTAACACTAACTCATAAACGTAAAGCTTCAAGTTAGAAATAAACTCATCCACAATTCACTTCAAATCATAGATCAACCAAAACACATATCATCAAACATAATCATGCAGTCTCAAACATGAATCAAATACTGCACGTACATCACGTAAAACAATACTTGGAAATACTCAAGAGTCAAGACAAATACTTGAAAAACCGTAAGGCGTAGAATTTACCCCCTTTACACTCACCTTACTTCCATCGTAACTGGCTCTGTTTTTGCTCCACTCGCTTCCAACTTATTACACTCGTACTTGCTTGAATAAAATGGAGCAGCTTGCTTGGCACAATTGGAATTAAATGGACCAGCTTGCTTTGGTCATTATCGTGGATCCCTTCCACACGGGACTCCCGGATCACTATGGCCGACTTTCGTCTCTGTTCGACCAGTCGGTCTTACAGTCAGGCAGCCTTATACCATTACGCTCAAGAGCAGAATCTTAGCTTGAGCCTACCTTCGCACACCTCCGTTACTCTTTAGGAGGCATCCGCCCTAGCAAGTTGCTTAGGTAGTTGAATTAAATGATGGTGTCCTCTGCATCGACTGTCCTCCCCTCCCACACAATCCGCGTTGGCTGCTTCTCCTTGGTTTGCCTTTGCCACCGATCACCGCTTTCCCCCTCTCATCCATTAGCAGAGATAGTGACAAGCTTGCTTAAGCAGCCGCCCCGCTTTTGCCTTGATTTCCCGAAAGCAAGCCACCTCATGCTTGCTTCCCCTCCTCGTCCGCAAGAAGATTCTCCCATCGTTCACATGGCAGGGCGGCGATAGCCATAATAAGGGGACGAGCTTGCTTAAGCAAGCAGCTCTCGTAGTACAGGGAATGATAAGCTCCTGTTTGCTTTTGATTTCCCGAGTCACTTGCTTTCGGTAGAGAGGTGAAAGGTTACGACGTTTTAATTAGTTTGACCGTGAGATTAGGGTTCGGTGGAGAGGTGAAAGGCTGCAAGGGTTTTAATTAGTTTGAGTGTTGTCGAGTGGAACGTGAGATTAGGGTTGGGTTTTAATTAACTCGAGGGGTATTTTATGCATTTCATAAATTACGGGTGAGTTTAATCTAAAACTCAACTAACGTACGTAACTTACTCGATTTATGTCGAAACTCGACACCGTTTGAACCGAGAGTTCGCATTTTAGTCCTCATGGATATTACGATGGAATTTGACAAATTTCCCCAAGGGTATAATAGTCATTTTGAAGTTCAAAGATAGGGTTAGGCGAATGTGAAAACCGAAAAAGAAGGACAGTTCGCAAAAGTCTAACCCGAAAACCTTATTGCGAATCGACCCATAAATGTCTGGTGCCCATTTTTCTCATCCTAGTCCGGGTTCGGGTCCGGGTCCGGGTGAACCTGCGGATTGACATCGTTGATAAGAAGTGAGTCAAAAGGAAAGGACTTGGAGAAGTGGCTGAAAAGGTAAATAACTCGGGGAATCGGAGTTCTATGTAAGGGCGACCCAGAATATAAAACCTTCTTTCCCCCACTCACCTTACCTCACTCGCATGTCGCTTACTCTGTTTCTCTCTCTGCTCTCTCTCCCCTGTACCTCTGGCTTTCTAACCCCTACGAGGCCCTCTGGCTCTCTCTCTCCCCCCTTTGTCTGCCTCTGTATTAAACAGAGCAACACTGAAACCCCTTCCTGAAAGGAAAAACAGCAAAGAAACCCTCGATATCCATATTTAGAAGAGTAAAATGAGGAAGCTCATCAGAAGCTGATCATCATCTTCTTCTTTGCTGCTCGTTCTTTTCTGTGTCTCCTTTTTTGTTGTCAGGAATGGATTTTGTTTGAGCAGGCGAAGGAAAGACCCAGCAGCGGAAAAGCTAAAATTTGTCTTTTGGTTGCGTGGATTTAGAGTTTCGAATGGCAGCTTCGGGTGGTCTAGCTGCAGAGCCTCCGAGGGAAGACGTACTTCAATGGCTGAAAAACCTACCTCTGGCACCAGAGTACCACCCAACTCTGGCTGAATTTCAAGATCCAATTGGCTACATTTTCAAAATTGAGAAGGAGGCCTCCAAGTATGGAATCTGCAAAATCGTGCCTCCTGTGCTTCAATCCCCCAAAAAGACTGCAATTGCGAACCTCAACCGCTCACTCGCGGCTCGGGTTGGGGCTTCCTCCCCACCCACATTCGCTACACGGCAGCAGCAGATCGGGTTCTGCCCCAGGAAGCCCAGACCCGTTCAAAAGCCCGTGTGGCAGAGCGGCGCCCACTACACTTTCCAGGAGTTTGAAGCTAAGGCCAAGTCGTTCGAGAAGAGCTATTTGAAGAAGTACACTAAGAAGGGAGGCACTCTGTCTCCTCTGGAGACCGAAACCCTTTACTGGAAAGCAACTGTCGACCAGCCTTTCTCCGTAGAGTACGCCAATGACATGCCTGGTTCTGCTTTCTCCGTCAGGAAGAATTCTGGGAGGGAAGGGATACTTGTGGAAGGGATAACTGTTGGGGAAACAGAGTGGAATATGAGAGGTGTTGCCAGGGCGAAAGGTTCGCTCCTGAGGTTTATGAAGGAGGAGATTCCAGGCGTTACTTCCCCCATGTTGTACATAGCTATGATGTTTAGTTGGTTTGCTTGGCATGTCGAGGACCACGACTTGCACAGCTTGAATTACATGCACATGGGAGCTGGGAAGACTTGGTATGGTGTTCCCAAGGAGGCTGCTGTGGCATTTGAGGAGGTTGTCAGAGTTCATGGCTACGGTGGAGAAATCAATCCTCTCGGTGAGTTCTTATCCGCAAGTCATTGAGTTTGAAAACCAATTGACAGCTTTTCGCGTCTCTTCGTTTTCGGTGCACAATTGTATTGTTAAATGTTGCAGTGATGAATTATGAGGAACTGTTCCTGTATCTGTTGATGATGATGAACATCCTTTCGGCAACTTTCACAGCTTATTTAGATAGGCTGTTGAATGATAAAAGTGGATGACAATCGAGAGTTTTCGCAGGGCTCTGAAATGGCAGGGTCCAATGCTTCTTCTTCATATGTTTTGGGTTTAGGGTTTATGTTCTTATTCTTCTCCTGTTTTCTTCCCTTTGAGTCTTGAGTGATATCTTCTTTCAAGGCCGAGTCACTGTTAATTCACTTTATATTAACTTCATTTCTCTAATATGTAACTAATGCCAGTTTTATCTGCTTCCTGTCAGTCACGTTTGCTGTTCTTGGTGAGAAGACCACAGTTATGTCTCCTGAAGTATTCATTAGAGCTGGTGTTCCATGCTGCAGGTGCATGTTTCTCCTTTCTATTCTCCTCTGGGTTCCAGTTTGTCGCATCCAGTAACAGTTGGCTTATAAAGAACTTTAGAGTTGGTGCTGTTGTTAAGTTTGAATATCCTTGTAGAAACCCTAAGGGTTGGCCTAGTGGTAATGTGGGGATTAGAACATCCACCACACCCTGGGTTCGAATCTTGGGGCCAACAATCAACGAAAAAGAATATGCTTTAGATATTAGTTAATGGCTAGCTATTTAACCTGATTGATGATAGCAGTTTTACAGGCAGCAGTAGTTCGGATATGACTTCTATACCTTCAGTTTCATCATAGTTATGACCATGTAGTTGATTGAAAGAGGCTATGACCATGTAGTTGCTATGTTTATTTTATATTGGGACCTTCATCACCTCTTAGGGCCTTGATTCTTTAATGTCTATTTGAATATGTCTCTCTGTCTTCTGAGTTATGACTTTCTTGGTTGCTTGAAATTAGACTTGTACAAAATGCTGGGGAGTTTGTTGTCACCTTCCCGAGAGCCTATCATTCAGGATTCAGTCATGGTAAAGTGGCCTTGTCCTTCAGTTATTTCATCTGTTTACAGAAATGATGAGTTATCAGTGCCACTTCAGTTCTTCGCAGGCGTGATTTTTTTCCTACTGTTTTCATTCCCAACACTTAGGATTTAACTGTGCGGAGGCGTCGAATATTGCAACTCCTGAATGGTTAAGAGTTGCTAAGGATGCTGCTATCAGAAGAGCTTCTATCAATTATCCTCCAATGGTGTCTCATTTTCAGTTGCTCTATGATCTTGCATCTGAGTTATGTTCAAGGTATGTACTTCAGTCCTTGATTTCATGTAGTGGATATCTTTACGGCTTGTTTGTCTGCTACTTCAACCCCTACCAGGCTTTAGCGATATCTGGAATATAAAATTTGAGCTGCAATTTTAGGAATACTAATTGGCTGGTTATGTGATTAAAAGAGTTTGAGATTTTCATTTTAGAAACATAGCTTATGTGTATCAAGCTCGGGGTGATGTATAATTGCATTGATGTTATGTTCGTGTGATAATGTGTATGTCTCTGTCCTTCTCGGTATTGGTCTATTGAATGTCTATTACCACCTCAGCATAATTAACCTAGAAGTCACTTGTGAATCTATGTCTTGTACCCTTCCCGTATATTCTCTGGATTGTAGCCTATATGTGAATTGTTCTCTTGTTACTTGTTCCACCTAGTTTCTAGATTAGTTAATGATAATTATTTGTGACTAATAAACTCTATCACTTTTCTTATACTTCCCTTTCAGATTAACAGTAAATAGCGGTGCTAAGCCAAGGAGCTCTAGACTAAAGGAAAAGCAAAAGGGGGTAGGGGAAATGGTGACCAAAGAGATGTTTGTGAAAAATGTCATTCACAATAATGACCTACTTCATAATCTTGGGAATGGGTCCCCGGTTGTGCTTCTACCCCGAAGTTCTTCGGATATATCCTTGTGTTTAAATTTCCGAGTCGGATCACAGTTTGTGAAACCATTTGGGTTATTTGCTCACAAGGGTTTGATGGATAAAGCGAGATCTTCCTCTGGTTCTCATGAGACCATGTTAGACAGGTCAGGTGTGATAGATAAAGTCAAAGGCATGGGACAACTGAAAACAAAGTTTGGTTCTCCATGTGAAGGAAACACACTTCCAACATCGAACCATCATGGAAACGTTCACATTCTTGAAGGAGATAATGAAAGGATGGTGATGCGTGACAATAGATGCCCAGATCAGAGATTGTTTTCTTGCGTTACCTGTGGAATTTTGAATTACGATTGTGTTGCTATCATTCAACCCAGAGAAGCAGCTGCGAGGTACTTCATGTCAGCTGATTGTAGCTTCTTTAATGACTGGACGGTCGTTTCTGGCATTAGTAAAGATGCATTCGTTGCTGCAGATGGAGATGCAAGTACATCTACAACAAGTAGGTTTTATGGAAAATCTGTTATTTCAGTGCTTGTTACTTTTATATGACCTGTTTGCTTACATATTTTTTATTGGTATTTTCTTGTAATTAGCCAGTTTTAGTTGAAGCAGACTTGACCTACCTTTATTTCTCAAATGAGGATGTTTGTATAGTGTGGCTGATGCTACTGTTCCAAAGCACTGCTCTTTGAAGTGACCTCTCTTGTTCTAATTGAAGTAGACTGATTGTTCAGGATTTTCGTGAAGCCAGCTTGCCACTTACATTTCTTTTCTATTGTTGGTGACTTTTGTCCGCGTAATTTATTTAGTTTGTTACTCTGAGGGCATATTTTTGCTATTTGAATACAGGAACGGTTCAGGAGAATACTGGCCATGGACCTTATGATGGTGTCCTACAATCTGCAAATCACCCAAGACAGATGGTGGATCAGAGCATTGTAGCAGTTCTTGAAGATACTAAACAAGAAAATGAATCATCAGCGCTTGGTCTATTAGCGTTGAATTATGGAGATTCTTCATCTGACCTAGATGAAGATCTAGGTGGTTCCCCCTACAATGATGATGACCATAATCGGGCGAATAGTTTATCAGAAGGTAACCATCAGCATCAGGACTCTGCTTCACCTTTTAAGGAAGAACTTCCTGATGATACAGCCAGTTATAACACCGTTTCTCAACAAAAACTTGATAGTGGGGGCAGAGACACCGTCTTTCTCCAGAATCTTGAGAACAATGTGCAACATCATGAAGGGCACAGACCAGTTAATTATGTAGACGGAAATCAAATTTTTGACAGGTCTAGTATTGCCTCTAGAAACGGGGATCTAGCAGATACAGAGAGCACTCGGTGTATCAGGGCCATTGTCCCACAAGAAGATACGGCAGGTGCATTGCTTTCCCCAGGATGTGATGAAGACTCTTCCCGCATGCATGTCTTCTGTCTTGAGCATGCAGTTGAAGTTGAACAACAACTTCGTCGAATTGGAGGAGTGCATATATTTCTACTTTGTCATCCAGGTTTGTTTGTTATCCATTTTGCTGGCTTTGCAATTTTTGGTACACAACTGCTCTGTTGATATTTTCTCCTCAAGTCATATTCTTCTTTCAGTTCCCCAAATCAAACCTTAGTCAGATGCAAGACATGGGATATGCTTAATTTCAAAGTTATTGTGCATGCTATTATTACTTTCTCGGGGATGGAAGTGATGTGCCTAGTTGCAGTAATATTCTTAGAGAAAATAGGGCTGCTTTCTGGAGAAAAATTATAAACCTTAATGTTTTCCATAGGAGAGATGGAGTCAAAACTGCCACACCAGTGACCTGTGGGTTATAAGGTTGGGCAGCGGTTGTAAAAGCTCAGTTTCTTCACTCGTCCATGGTATCTTGAATGCTCTGGCTTTCTGTAAGCTTGTGTGGTAAAAACGCATATATTTTAATTGCTTGATCTATTCTTGGATGAACTATACAATCAATATAGCTGGGTCAATTCAGTTTGTGTTTTGGTAAATGTATCTGCATACATAATAATATGGGTCATTTGTCCGAGCTGGCATAGTGATTTTCTTTTCTTTGCTTATATAATTACATGGGGACTTGTCGCAGATTATCCTGGATTAGAAGAGCAAGCAAAGTTAGTCTCAGAAGAACTGGGGACTGATTATTTGTGGAAGGAAACTGATTTTCGGGCTGCAACCAAAGAGGATGAGAAAAGGATCCAATCAGCTTTGGATATGGAGGAATCCATTCCAGGAAATTGTGATTGGGCTGTGAAGCTGGGGATCAATCTTTTCTACAGTGCTAATCTTAGCTGGTCGCCGCTTTATAGTAAGCAGATGGCATACAATTCTGTGATCTACAATGCATTTGGTCGTGCATCTCCTGTAAGCTCACCTAAGAAGTCTACTAATAATGTTTCTGGACGGTCCGGCAAGCAGAGAAAAATGATGGTAGGTAAATGGTGTGGCAGAGTTTGGATGTCAAATCAAGTGCATCCCTTTATAGCAAAGTGGGATTCCCAGTATCCTGATCAGGAAGAGAAGGTTGAGGTACAAGAAACACATGTCCTGCAAAGAGAAACCACAAGAGTCTCTGTCAAATCTGGGAAGAGAAAGAAACCTCCAACAGCAAAGAAGCCCTCAGTTATGAAAGTTGTGCCCATGGAGACTGAGGCTGCTGCTTCAGACGGTTTAGGTGTTTCTCATAAGCAGATTAGGAGGCTAAACAGCCGGAAGAGAACTGGAGGACCTCGAAGAGAAGTATCAGCAGACAATTCTGTGGAGGAGCATGATGAGAGCTTGCACAGAAAAAAGATAGCAACAGCTATTGTGAATGAAGATATTGATTCTGATGATTCTCTACATCAGTACAAGAACACTAGAAGTGAGCAAGCCAAACATTTCGACTGTGAAAAACATTCAGGATTCTATGAAACAGCACGGAAAGCTCCCAAAAAGCAACTGAGAACACCTAGAGTCAGTCAGACCAAATATGTCGAGAAAGAATCAGAAGCTTCAGACGATTCATTATTACAAGAGAACAACATTTTTCAATGGCATGGAAGAGTTCCTAGAAGTAATATGCAAATGAAATTATTGGAGAGAGAGCAGCCAGGTTTTGGAGCTCCACTAGAAGAAGAGAGTTCTCAGAAGTCTCATAAGGTCTATCAAAGGAGAAAAGGCAAATGCGCAGAAAAGGAAGATGCAGCAGCAGCTCCAAGCGAGATGACAGAAAGTATTATCTCTCATAGGCAGAACAGTTACAGCAGGATTCCTGAGGAAGCTGTGTTTGATGATGATAATGATTCTCTAGATGGTGTTCAGTGGCGCACTACAAGCGTCTCTGAAGTGGAGAGAGGACCCAGATCTTCTGAGAGGGAAGATGCTATGTCTGATGATGCTTCAAACTACAATGATCGAAGGGCTATTATGCTTCGGGGCAAAGATCCCATATTTGATTCCACAGAAGATCTCGTAGTTTCAGATGATCCACTTTACAATGAGGATGCCCATCAAAGAACCATTCCTAGAGGCAACAAAAGGGCCAAAGTTACAGAAGAAAGACAACATGACTTTACAAGGAAGACTCCAAGAGGTAATAAGCGAACCAAATTTATCAAAGGAGAGATGGAGGATGATGTGGTTCCAGATGATTTGGTAGGAGAAAGGTATAACCAGCAGCAGCAAGGGAGATCTCTTAGAAGCAAGCAGCAGAGGAAACCTGTAGCGACCCTTAGCCAGATGAAAAGCCAAACTCCACAACAGTTGAGAAGTGGGAAGAAGCCAATGCAGAAAGAGACTCTTCCTCTTTCAGTGACACAGCAGAAGAGGCATTTTAAGGATGATGATGAATCTGACCAGGAAGGCGGGCCTAGCACACGCCTGAGGAAAAGGCCATCAAAATCTACCCCTCAAGTGTCTGGAACTAATAAATCTAACAAGGAGAAGCAGGGAGGTAGTAGTAGCAGGATCAAAGTGATGAAGTATTCTACTCCAGCTGCTGGTGGACGCAGCAAGAGTGTGAAGGTGAAAGAGATGGAAGCACAATACCAGTGTGATATTGATGGATGCACCATGAGTTTTGGGTCAAAGCAAGAGCTTAATGTCCACAAAAGGAACATTTGCCCAGTGAAGGGATGTGGGAAGGTGTTCTTCTCGCATAAGTATCTGGTGCAGCATAGGAGAGTTCATGTGGACGACAGGCCACTTAAGTGCCCATGGAAGGGGTGCAAGATGTCATTCAAGTGGGCTTGGGCTAGAACCGAGCACATCAGGGTTCACACAGGTGCACGCCCGTATGTGTGTGCAGAAGAAGGATGCGGCCAAACGTTCAGATTTGTGTCAGATTTCAGCCGTCACAAGAGAAAGACTGGTCATATAGGCAGGAAGGACAGCGAGTAAATTCGTGGATAACAGGAAGTAGGGAAAGCTTAACATTTGCTAATGGAAGAAACTGTTGTAGCATTGAGAAGGTCTAGATCTAGGGGTGTAGCATTGAGAAGGTCTAGAGCTAGGGGTTTTTTCATTGCTTATCGTTAGATTCATTCTGAGATATCAACATAACCATTGGATATTTTGATAGATAATATTGAGCGATTGCATTGAACCTTTAGTATTAACCCTTGTCCACATTAAAAAAAAAAACCCCTTGTCCAAGTCTTTAACCGGAGGTAAGGCATTGGGGCTTGTGATTGTTTTTTTATAGGTATTGTTAGGGTTGGGCAATGGGGTTGGGTGAATTTTGGTCTGACCTACTCGCTTACTAGCGAGTTGGAATAATTGTGACCCGCAATTCAGTCACATATTTTTGTGAGTTGGATTGGGTGGGTGGCGGATGGGTATGGTTGGGTAGTGTGTCAATCGGCAGAAGCAATTCTCCAACTAACCATTAAGAAAATTGACTAACATTTATAATAAGTTCATAGTAAATTAGTAAGATTGTATCAACAATTTGTGATTTTGATACAATTAATTATTTATACTTTGCATCCCAATATTTAATGGATATTAATAATTTGCATACCAATAATAGTAGTCAAAACATTCTTTATTCTCCACCTTTTGAAGTATACAGTCAGAGTGTAGTGCAGTTCGTAAATATCAATGTTGTCAAAAGCGAACTGGAGTATGACCTGATAATGTGAACGACTCAGTTTTTAACGGTCTAACCGGTAGTAAACCGTTTAAAAGCCGTTAGAAAATCGGTACCTAATAAAAAACCAGTATAAAAGTGGACACTTCTTAATCATGGTAAACCATGACAAAAATAGTAAATTACACTCTTAACAATTCCAAAACATGCAAGCTGGGAGCGGGGAGCGGCTACAGGGGCTGGGGATGGCGATGATGGCAACGAGAAGTGACGATGGAGCAAAGAGTTGCTACTAAAAGAGGGTCGGGGACGTAGACTGGCGATGGTGAGCAGGGAGCTGCTACGCTGACTAGGGATGGCGACGATGTCGACAAGAAGTCAGGACCGGATGTGTTGACGGTGGCAGGGTTTGGGACCGCTCTTCTCCCTCTGTTCACGAAGAGTCGAAGTCGAAAACTGAATTAGAATTAGGGTTTCTTTCCCAGGGCCACGATTTTGCCTTTCATTTTCAATTTTTTATTTTCTTTTTCAATTTTTCTTATTAAACAGAACGACTGAAAGGGGAAAACCGAGCGACAGGTTCAAGCGGCTCGAGCGATTAACCGCCTCGGCCGCTCCATAAAACCGAAGCGGCTAAATGACTGGCCTGAACCGGTTTGCACCGGGTGGTGACTTTAGCGGTCCGGCCGGCCGGCTCGGTCCGGTCTTAATAACAGTGGTAAATATGATGAATATTTGATACTATAAGACATAACATTTTTTCATGTACAAATAAGATGCGGGTCATACGCGTGACCCGCAATCAACCCACCATCCACCCACATAAGTGCGGGTGAGAGATTTTATCAATCCGCAATTCACCCACATCAATTACCCACTGCGTGCGGGTCGGGTTATTTGTGGGTGGATCAATATTAATCTACGGATTACCCACCCACGTGCCCACTCTTAGGTATTGTATACCATTTTACTATGCTGTTTTATCAAATATATACCACTCAATTATTTTTTACATCAAACATGCTCTATACTTTGAAAAAATTATCAAACATACCTTTTTGTTAAAATTTTCATTAAAAAATGGTCAACCACGGTTGAACCGAGATTCACATGACCTGACTTCAGCAAAATTGGGGAGAAAATATCAGTTCCCCCTGTTAAAGTGAAATTATCAAGGTATTTGACTATACAAAAGAAACAAAACAATTCTAAAGTGAAATTATTAGGGATATTTTTTATCATTTTTACAAAATAGAGAGGCATTCTATTACATAAAAAATAGGGCTAAATTACATGTTTGGTCACTCAAATTACATTAATCTTTTACGTTTGCCACCCGAATTACTTTTCTTTCATATTCGCCACTAACTTTACGATTCGTTTCGCCATTAATCACTAGTCGTCAGTCTCCGTTAAACTCTGTTAACTCCGTCAATCTTTTGTTGACGTGGCAAATGTAACAACTGACTGGACCGTTAAATAATGACATGTCAATTTAAAAAAGGGTATGATTATTTATTAGCCAAACCTTTTTCAGATTTTTTTTATTAGCCAAACCTATTGAATTACTAATAATGAGTCAAATGTTAACATCCAGTTAGCAATTTTGTTACTAATATTGATTTGGCAACATGTTACTAACTTGGAAGAGGCACATGGAGGTCAACATTCCAAAATTTTATTATTTTAACTAATAAAAGAGTTACAAAATTATTGGTGATAACGAAAAAATGGTTAATACATTGACGTGTTAGAAAATGTTTGGCTAATTCTTCGTATTTCGATAGATTCGGCTAAAATAAAAGAATTTGAAAAAGGGTTGGGTAATAAATAGACATTGCCCTTTAAAAAAACAAATAAAAAAACTAAAAATATAAAAATTAGGCCCCACCTTCCCTCCCTTGTCTTCGCCTTCCCCACTGCCACTTTTTGTTTGTCGAGCTCTTCCTCTTCAACAATGCCATTTCTTCCCCCCACCCCCCACACCTGCTTGAAATTCTCTCCATGCTTAATCACCTGACTCGTGTTTTGGCGTACCGGCAAATGCTCTCCCCTTGCTTCTAGTTATCAAAAGAAGTCTTGTCCACAAAAATCCACAATCCCAAGCCGATCCCAGGTTGCCGCCGCTGTCGCATTACTCCCCTGTTACTCCTCCTGCGACTCGTCGTCAAATTAGGAGTCAGAGGCGATCGTGCTCGATGAGGAGAAGGAATTTCGATTAGGGAATGAGAGTTCGGAGCAAGATGTGTTTGAGATTTGCAGCGTGAGCTTGAGTGAGAGCTTGATGACTGCGAGAACGACCAACGACAAGGAAGTTAGGATGATGAAGGCGGGGAGCAGGAGATCTTCTCTGACGGGAAGATGACAACGGCGAGGATGAATCAGGCGTTTTTTACGGCGGATTCAGTTCGAGGAAAGAACGGGAAGTTGGGAGGTCGTCGACGATTTGAATGGTCTCCGGTAAAGAGGAATTGCCCCACATCTGGCGGCGGTGGGAAGATGAGATGATGCTTCAGGAGAGCAGGGAGTCGGGCCCTAATCCGGCTGCGAGAAGAACGTTGAGACCCGACGGTGGGGAAGGGCAGGGAGGGGAAGGTAGGGCCTGATTTTTGTTTAATTAATTATTTTTTATTTTTTTAAATTGACATGTCATAATTTAACGGTCTAGTCAGCTGTTCCATTTGCCACATCATAAAAAAACTACTAGAGTGAACAGAGACTGATGGACGGTGCCTAAAGGTGAAACGAATCGTAAAGTTAGTGGTGAATATGAAAGAAAAGTAATTCGAGTGGCAAACGTGAAAGATTAATGTAATTTGAGTGATCAAACGTATAACTTAGCCTAAAAAATAGTAAACGAACATGTTTGATGAAACAACATAGTAGAGGGGGTATTATACCTTTAACCTTTTTTTTTAACAAGTGGGCTTGTGATTTTTTTCTTTCTCCAAGTAATGACAAGATAGAGAGATATAAAACAAGAAAAGCTACTCAAGAACCCTCTCAAAGCAACACCTCAGTGTAGTCATCCTAGAAAGTTGAAGGAATCCTCCCAAACCCTATTTGCGGCTCGATGATTCGAGTCTAATTGCACATGTTTACACCCATGTTCTGGTGGTGTTTGAGGCGTTTACATCGCTCGAGATTCAATTTTACAAGTTTCCAGCATGTTTCAGGTTCTAGTAGGTGAGATTGGCCTTGGAAGCGAAAGTTGAACGAAAGAGGGCGAAAGCGGATCGAAAAAGGGAAACATGCAAAGATCACGGTTAGAGCAACTTTATCACGGTCAGTCGACCGTGAAAAAGAGGGCCAGACCGTGAAGCTCAGTGACGTCCAGAGAGTATTGTGAACCTCGTGGGCCTAAAAGTTATCACGATCCCCAGGTCGTTATGATCATGTCCAAAACATGAAGGCCTTAAATGAAATGATGCGTTTTTGCCCAACATCACGATCCAAGCTTCGAAATCACGCCCGTGATAAGTGATCGTGATGTGCGCACGACCTGGATATAAAAGGAGATGGGAGCTAAAACTTGAGAGGGGGATCCTAGTGAGAGATTATCATCTTCTTATGATTTTAGAGAGAAAATGACGAACCAAGAGAGAAGAAGAGGTCTAGGGTTTTCTCCAAGATAGAGGATTGGGGATTTTCATTTTCCAAGGGTGATTTCAACAACAAGGAAGGAAGTCAAACACCACACCATGGTTTTATCTCTCTTCTTTGTTGTAATCCCTTGTTTAGCTATAGGGTAGTTCTCCTTTTCACTTGGGTATTGTGAACCTAGCATAGAGATGTAGTAGGTTGTTGGATTTGAACTCTATGTGTGATGATTGTGTGCTTTAATATAATGCTTGAGGTATTTTCATGATTTGTGAGTGTTGGGTTCCATATTTCATTTGGTTCAAATTGACCTAGAAGGAGGAAATCCCCTCCTTGCCCAGTTCTTGGCAAATTGGGTAACCCCTTCTAGGGTAGTTAGGGACACACCTCAACCATCGATTTAGCGTCACGATTTGATTGTGTTTTATCGCTTTGTCGCCGTTATAGATTAACCTCCGAGGGATTGGTTAACAATCCTTAGTCAATTGATTGAGAGAGCTAGATTCCCTAGCTTAATTGCTTTTCCTTAATCGATTCCCTAAGAGAGTGGAATTCTCCACTAGTTGCACCATCCTCACGATATAAGAACACACTATTTCACACTAGAGTTCCGTTTGTTGCAACTTTATACGAGGCTAGGGGAGCAATACCTGGGTGTAGTCGTCTCATATAGAATCCACAACAATTTAACTTATTGCTTGCTTTAAATTGTAGTCTTTAGTTTTCACCCAATATTGATTGCTAGATAACATTTTAAACGGTTGAAGTAGGAGTACATGGACCGACCCGGGTTGACATTTAAAATTGCTTGCCCTATACTACACCCTACTAGAGTTTATACTTGAGCTCTAGTCGGGATGTTCTTTGTGTAGTTAGGAACGAGTCAAGTTTTGGCGTCGTTGCCGGGGAAAGCTTACAGACCATTATTTAGGAAAATTTCTTTTGGTGTTAATCTAACTTTTAATTTTTGCATTGTGTTTGTGAATCTTGCTTGTCTTGACTCGAGTTGTGTCTTGTGAAGTGTGTGCATGAGGTGTATGACCCGGAGTGATTTGACGCCTTTGGAGCCACTAGACGAGAACATCAACTGAAATATCCAACTCTTGGCTCGGGAGAGAGTTAAGGGAAGCAAGGGAAGGATTGGTGGATCGGGGAAAACCACACGTAGATCCCGAAGAAGAAGTTGAAGTTGTAATAGAGAAGGAAGTTGAATCGAAAGGAGTTGAAGTTGAGATGGCGGAGAACAAGAACACCCAAGTTGGAAATGAAGAATCGAGGACCATGGACTATTACATGGCTCCACGGGAAGCGGATATTCAAACAACATTTTGCATCCACTCGTGGCCGCTAACAACTTTGAGATAAATCCCAGTCTTGTCACAATGATCTGGTATTGTCCACCTTTCAAGACGACGGAATGGCGTAAGAAGATCACTTACTTCACCCAAGAGGAGGATGAGACTCTGAGGGATGCGTGGGAGAGATACTTTGACTTTTACCTCCAATGTCCACACCACAGGTTTGGGGAGCAGTTTCATATTGAAACTTTCTATGAAGGTCTCCTTCTAGAAGATTGGATTCTCATCGACACCTTGTATCAAGGGAACATGCTCAACAAGAATCCACCCGAGATGACCGCTTTGTTGGAAGATATGGCTACAAAGGGCTATGATTGGGGTTTGATAAGACGTGGTAGAAGGACAAGAGATAAGGGAGTACACTCCACGGAGGCATCGGGACCCCTGCTTACCATGAAGATTGATGAGTTGATATCGGCTCTCCTACAAGATGGGAAGCAAGGCAAGAAGCAGACAACCTTGTCGGGATCCTCACTAAAATACCTAAATGAGCCCTACCTTCCCAAACTATTGCCAACCCCAAGAATCAAAATGTCGGGTTGAATGCCATTCTTTTGAGTGGGAAGGTAACTCCGGATGTTGCTCCTAAGGAGATAATTGAAGAAGAGGAAGCCTCTACAATGGTCAATGAACAAGAACCCTTGGAAGGATAGGATGAAGAGGCTAAAAAGGCATCGCCAACGCCACCACTAATGGCTGAGTACAAGCCTCCACTCCCTTTCCCTACAAGGGTGCAAAAACACTGTTTGGAGGCAGAATGTGGCAAGCTTATGGAGATGCTCAAGAATCTCAATGTCACAATTTCCTTCTTGGAGGCAATGGCATACATGCAAAGGTACGCCAAGTTCCTTAAGGGACTTCTTGCAAAGAAGTGGAAGTACGAAAACCTCACGACCGTCACTTTAGACGAGGAGTGCTCGGCCTTCATCCAGAACAAGTTGCCTAAAAAGCAATAAGATCCAGGTAGCCCCATTCCAAGAGGTCATTTTTCTTGGTACTCGCTATCCTCAAACTCGCGAATTTAATCACATTAGTGTACGTACTCAATGAGTTCATCTCTGCCTTAGGAGGGGAAGAATATTTTGTAACAATGTTGAAACCTCTTATAGGGATGTCTGTTACCTTAAGAGAAATAAATCAACTTATTAAGTAAACACTTGAGCTATCTTGCAAGCTCATGTTCGACAACATACCTTCCCATTTGCAACTCCTCGTATTACGAAAATTACTCGACCTGGGCTAATTTGTAATCCCATGTGTTGTTAATGATCTTTCACGATATGATATCACTTATTGATTTAGGGTATAGTCTTAATTTTATTCCCTTCAATATCTTTAGGTCGCTTGCCATATACAAATTAGAGAGCCCAAACTTGACCATTTCACAGGTCGACAATTTGGTTTCCATCCATTAGGCATGGCAAGGGATTTGAAGGTTGAGATAGGACCCTTCATGTTCTCTCACGACTTCGTAGTACTCAATATGCAAGAGATAGTGATTAATCTATCATCCATTCTTGGCCATTTCCGATGAATGGATCGACGTTCATAAAGATTAACTTACGATGAGAATCAACAATGCAGAGCATATTGTACAAACGATAACTCTGGAACCTAAGAAAGAGGAAATATGATAAACAATTAAGATCTTATTTTGAAGAATGTAATTCTAACTCCTCGGAGACTTCTATGCCTGATAGCACCATATTTGCACATGTTTGCACCCTTGTTTCTTGATAGTTTATGCTTGAGTTTTTACTTTCTTGGCCTATTTTACACTAGTTTGTTTTACTTTGTCACATTTTAGTTCCTAGCACGTAAAGTGAAGCATAGGCGCAAGTTTCAAGTCAATCGGAGATCAATTTGCGATTCGGGAGAAGAAACTCGGTCACTGTCGCAACCGTCCCGTCCGGGGGTCCGTATGTCGTCGCGTCGGCATTTTTGGGAGTCGCCATCGATCTTAGTTGGAGTGGATCGAACACTCTTTGGATCGGCTCTAACCTTAGGGTCGGAACCGAGATATGGTCTGCGGTTAAGAGATATGGGTTCGGGAGTACGATTACGTGTGGGGAAGTGAAATCACACCCCACAACGCCGTAAATCGGTACTACTTAAGTCGATAAGTTTTTATATGAGTTAGGTGTATTTTTAGTAATAATTTAGTAAATTTAGGGTCCCACTGGACCATTAAAAATATTAAATCGTATAAATTATAATTTAATTGTACGTCCACTGACGTAAAAATTAAAAATGGAATTAATTGGTTAGTTGGACTCGAACCTTATCGGTTGCCTATGTACCCGTTAGACGGGATCAAAGTCCACGTAGTTCGTTCGAACTTTGATAATTTAATTGTAATCACGTTCCACTGATCGTGATTTTCGTATGATAATTTTGTTAATAAAAATTCATTTAGATTATTATGAGGTTATAAATGCAAGTATTTTAGCTATTAGGAAGTATTTTGGCGTATTAAAAAACGAGATAAACTTAATACGCATTCTATATTTCGTATTAAGGATTTAAAACAAATAAAACTAAATGGGATTACCATATAAATGCGTGATGGGCCGGCAGCCCAACTGGCTAAAACGTCAAGCCAAAATTGCGTTTGACCCAGAGGACGAGTGTTCAAAACGCGCTGGCGGAGACATTTTTATTTCTCGTTGTGGTACCCCAAAAAGGGGAAGGGTATTGTGGTAATTACTCAAAAACACGGTGGCACGGCCGCGTTAATATTTGGAAACCCTAAGGGCATTTTTTTCATTTCAAATTAGGGGGTATATATTCATCTCTTAGGTCGAAAAATCAAACCCTAACTATTCAGAGCTAGCGGCCGCCGCTTAGCCTCTCTCTCTCGTCCAGAGAAACCCAACCCTAGCCCAAACAAGACCCCAAATTTCCGCCGTCACTCTCTCCTCTCCTCTCTCTCTCGCGTTCTTCTTCTCTAATTCGAGAAAGGGAAACCGACAACCTAGCTCTCTCTCCTCTGCGCCGCCGTCTTCTCACTTTCTCAGCTGGCCAAGGGAATCGCTTGTATCAAGTTAAATCGACCTAGAAGGTCTCGATCTAGGTAAGATCCTAGACATGCATGGCCTTTTTCTTTCTATTTTCTGATTTTTCAATGGATTCTACTAAGTTTCTTTTCGTTTTCTTTTTCATTTCTGGAGAAATCAACCCAAGCCAAGGTGGGTACTTGTCGATCTACCTTCCTCGCCGAAACGACGGCGGTGATGGGTGAATCCTACCCTCTGGTAAGTCTTTTTTGACATGCAGGCTTGTTTTCGTTCGATTTAGATGATTTTATTTGGGATTCGGCTAATATTTATTTCATTTTTTTGTATTTTGGATTTGGTTGGCGGCGAGGCTTTGCCGAGGAGGACATTCAGTTCAAAAAAAAAGGTTAGGACTTCGACTCCTAAATTTATGTTAATCTAACGTTTTTACTTATTAACAAAAAAAAAACTTAGGATAATTCGTTCTTTTTTTATAGGTTTGAAAGAGAGGCCAGATCTGGGTAAGGCTCTTCTAACCTCGGTTTTGGTATGACTAGGGATGATTTAACTAAGTAAATGGATTATTATTGTTGATTTGGGATTGATTAGCAGATCTGAGTATTAGAAAGTAAGTTTTGTGAATAAGTTTTGAAAAAATTGGATTTTGGTGGTTTGATGGGTTTGATGAATGGATTCGGATGTAGTATTTGATATATTAGAAGTTGCTAAAATGATTTTTAATCTAATTAACATAGACTAAACTGCTTATTTTGGCTATTATAAATCCATTCAGTGATTTTTAAACTCTATAACTTATGGGTTTGAGTGATTTTTGTTGGATTTGGATCCAGGTTGATCCAAGGACGTCGAAAAAGTTTGTTTTGATTGTTATATAAGGAAAAAATATGTGCTATATCTAGTTTTACTTTAGTCTGTACATGTATATGTATGTATGGCTACGAATGAGAAAATCTAAACATGGCAAAAAGAGTTTGAAACAAAACATCCAACTCTAGTCATAGTTAAGTTAATCGGCATGATAGTAATCGCATAGCCAAAACTATTAATATGAGAAGGAAAAAAACTTTAATGATAGAGCCTAATGAAATTGATAAGAGTAGATCTTGATAAATAATATTTGACCATCACATAGCTTGTATTGGAAAATACTCAAGAGTATAAATATGCAAATAGATGGATGATTGTATAACGTCATAACGATTGTATAAATTTGATAAAAATGAAAGATGAAGTTGATACAAGTACCAACCTAGATCAAGGCCTAAGAATGGCCTTTTTCCTACAACGATCTTCAAATCTGCTCCTTCAATCTCGTGTCCCCACTGAACTTCGGCTACGGGCAAGAACAAAAAGACGATCCCTTTGCAATGTGGATGTCTATATATTTTTCCTGTGTTTTTCTTCTCCAGTCCTCCCCCAAAACAAAGAGCCCCAAGAGCCCATTTATAGCAAAAAAGCTGTCCCACGTGTCTTTTCTTCATTGGTCGATTTTGAGGCCCATTGTGAGGCCTCCAGCACAGTTGGTCGGTTCTGCCTGGTCAGGATAGGGTTGGCACACAGTTTTAAGCTAAAATGGCAGAGCTGTGGGCCTGTATTTTGGGCCGACTTGGCCTTCGTTTGGGCTTGGATGTTTGTTGGGCCGAGCTCTGGGCTTGGAATCAGGCCTTGATCTGACTGGTTTTCTTTTATGTTGCAGGTCTCCAGGGCTGGGCCTAAAATGAGGGGCTGAAGAAAAGAACTAGTCTTTCTTTGTTTATGTAGAATTTGTAATGGCCCATGTAATTACATTTTCCTTCAATGTCAATGTGATTCTCGCTGCAAATTACGATGTAAGAAATCAATTAGCAAAGTTTATTTTAGTCTTTACTGATTCGTGCTCTATATATTGTAATTCATATCAACATCCAAAACCGGAAGCGTACTAAATTCCTAATCTCAATGCGTAGAACAATAATTGATAATCATTGGTTCATATTGACTTGCTACTGCTAGTCTCAATCAATTCACTTCAAGTTACCTTTCCAAATATAATTGTGATACAATTAAGGCCTGATTCCGGACAAAATGTGGTGTCTACAGTTGCCCCCTTTGTATATCTCTTTGTATAAAGAGTTACACAAAGTTTCTATAAAGACACCACATTTTGAAAAGTGAAACCCTCAAAAGTAGAATTTGAGCTGATCTTTGGTAATAGAGACGTATCCATATTGTTAAGATGATGGTAGCCAAATTGTATAAGAAAATGGCAGTGATGAAATCAAACTGGCCATTCGGTAACAACTAACAATGATATACTCAAGTTGTTCGTGATAGGAACAAATGGATCAAATTGGAGAATGTTTAGCGATGAAATCAAGCTAACCATTTTGTAAAAACGATGTACATAAGTTGTCTGTGGTAGGAACCATGTTGGCCAATGAGAACGAAGATAGCGATAAAATCAAGCTAATCATTTTGGTAACCATGATATGCTCAAGTTGTCTAAGATTGAAATCAAATTGATCAATGTGAAAAATGACTGCGATAAAATCAAACTAATCATTTTGTAAAGGATCTTGTACTCAAATCGTTTGTGATAGAAATCAATTCAAACAATGAGGAAAATGTCAGTGATAAAGATCAAACTAGTCATTTTGGTAAAGGATGAAGCACTCAAATTGTTTTTGATGGACATCAATTCAAACAATGAGAAATATGTTAGTGGTAAAGATCAAACTAACAATTTTGTAAGGGACATTGTACTCAAATTGCTCGCGATAGGAATCGGATCAAGCAATGAGAAGATGTTAGTGATAAAGATCAAGCTAACGATTTGGTAAAGGATATTGTACTCAAATTGTCTATGATAGGTGTCGCAACCGTCCCGTCCGGGGGGGGGGGGGGGGGTCCGAATGTCGTCGCGTCGGCGTTTTTGGGAGTCGCCATCGATCTTACTTGGAGTGGATCGAACACTCTTCGGTCGGCTCTAACCTTAGTGTCAGAACCGAGGCATGGTCTGCGAAAATAAAGTTCTGGGTTCGGGAGTACGGTTACGTGTGGGGAAGTTAAGCAACACCCCCACAACGCCCTAAATCGGTACTACTTAAGTTGATAAGTTTTTGTATTCGTTGGGTGTATTTTTAGTAATTATTTTATATTTTTGGGGTCCCACTGGACCATTTAATGATTTAATCGTATTAGTTATAATTTAATTATACGCCCACTGACGTAAAAATTTAAAGATAAAGTTAGTTGATTAATTGGACTCGAACCTTACAGGTTGCCTACGTACACGTTAGACGGGATCGAAGTCCACGTAGTTCGTTTGAACTTTGATAATTTAATTGTAATTACGTTCCACTGATCGTGAATTTCGTATTATAATTTTGTTAATAAAAATTCATTTAGATTATCATGAGGTTATGACAAAAAATGCAAGTGTTTTAGTTATTAGGAAGTATTACGACGTAAAAAAAACGAGATATACTTAATCCGCAATTCTACATTTCGTATTAAGGATTTTAAATGAATAAAACTATACGGGATTATAAAATTAGAGGCTTCTGGGGTTTCCATCCGACCTTGCTTCAAACCCTTTTCTATTCGCTCTCCGATTACAAGCAGATCCGCAAAGTTGGTTGTGGTAATTCCGACCATGTTGTTGTAGTATGGAGCCCTTAGTGTTCCGAAGAAGATTGACACCATCTCTTTTTCTGACAGAGGAGGTTGAACATCTGCAGCTTTCTCTCTCCACCTTTGAGCATATTCTCTGAAAGACTCTTTCTCATTCTTTTCCATATTCCTCAGATCTTCTCGGTCTGGAGCCAGATCCTGGTTATGCTTGTAGTGCCTCATGAATGCATCTGCGAGGTCTTGCCATCTTCTCACTTTTGTTTTCTCTAGTTGCATATACCATCGTAGGGCAGAACTACTCAGGCTGTTTTGGAAGCAATGTACCATTAGTCTTTCATCTCGAATATGGTTGGCCATTTTGTTACAGTACATGACCAGATGACTTTTTGGGCAAGTGGTGCCATTGTATCTTTCAAATTCTGGCATTTGAAATTTGTGAGGAATCACGACATCTGGGACCAGACATAGTTTTGATGCATCCATAGGCTCGTACGACTCAACTCCTTCTATGCTTCTTATTCGTTCATTCAAGTGTTCTAATTTTTCTTCTAGCATAGCTTCAATTTTATGTTCCTCTTGCTTCTCGGGTTCTCCGGATTTGTCATGCTTTGATGACCCAATATCACCTTTTTCGCCTGTGTTCTTCGAAGGTATGAGAATGAATTTACTACCTGAGACGTTTCCCTGAGGTTGCTCATAGTGATCGTCGTCATCAAATACGATTTCTTCCTCGTTCGTTGCAACCTCCTTCCCTTTTCTGTACAATATGCTCACTATTGTGTTGAGCTGGCTTTTCATCTCATCGAAGCCCGTTAGTTTCTCATCGAACCCCACTAGCTTCTCGTCAAACCCGGTCAGCTTTCCTTTGATGTCGTTCAACTCTTTTTGAAATGCATCCATAAAGACCTCGAGCTTGGATCTAGTTAAGTACTTGAAGTCTTGATTTTTTCCTTGTGGACGAGCAATTTTAAGGAACCCTGACCAATTACTTTTATTAAATTGACTTGAATGAACGATGGAGAGTATGTATGATGCTTATGCGATGCACAGATGCACGTGCATTTTGAAAATGTTTTCATGATTTATTTTAAATGCATAAATGAAAACACAAAAAGAGAATGATGCTTATGAGTCTATTTTTTCAAAGAAGAAAAGAAAATTCACATTGTTCTCACAAATAAATATATTGCACTTGGGAGAACATACCACAAGTTATCACGTTAGAAAACACACATATATAGATAATAAAAATATAACCCTATTTGGGAAAACCTAGGGCTTTCAGAGGGCATAATGACGTGGTGCTAGGGTTGTCTCAGGATTATTTTGGACGGTTTAGGGAGGCCTCTATGCTTACTATATGCTGGCAGAGGGATTCCTAGGGATTTGGCTCCCAAGTTGTATCCTGCCACAGCCCTTACGAACTGGCTGGATACCTCAAGATCAACCTCGGATCTGAGTTCAACTTGGTTGGAAAGTTTTGCGTGCTTTCCACTACTGTGAAAGTCACGGTACTCCTTTTCCGTTTCTAATAGGATAGCTCGGGTATAGAGCTTTTATGCATGAATGCAGAATTAAATTGCGAAAATATAATTGCGCAAATAAGAAAGTAAACACCCAACACGTAATAGAAAATTAGAAAACTTATCGAACTTAGTTATGTAGCTCGACTCTCGAAGTCCCCAGCGGAGTCGCCAACTGTCGCAACCGTCCCGTCCGGGGGGGGTCCGAATGTCGTCGCGTCGGCGTTTTTGGGAGTCGCCATCGATCTTACTTTGAGTGGATCGAACACTCTTCGGTCGGCTCTAACCTTAGTGTCAGAACCGAGGCATGGTCTGCGAAAATAAAGTTCTGGGTTCGGGAGTACGGTTACGTGTGGGGAAGTTAAGCAACACCCCCACAACGCCCTAAATCGGTACTACTTAAGTTGATAAGTTTTTGTATTCGTTGGGTGTATTTTTAGTAATTATTTTATATTTTTGGGGTCCCACTGGACCATTTAATGATTTAATCGTATTAGTTATAATTTAATTATACGCCCACTGACGTAAAAATTTAAAGATAAAGTTAGTTGATTAATTGGACTCGAACCTTACAGGTTGCCTACGTACCCGTTAGACGGGATCGAAGTCCACGTAGTTCGTTTGAACTTTGATAATTTAATTGTAATCACGTTCCACTGATCGTGAATTTCGTATTATAATTTTGTTAATAAAAATTCATTTAGATTATCATGAGGTTATGACAAAAAATGCAAGTGTTTTAGTTATTAGGAAGTATTATGACGTAAAAAAAAACGAGATATACTTAATCCGCAATTCTACATTTCGTATTAAGGATTTTAAATGAATAAAACTATACGGGATTATAAAATTAACGCATGAGGGCTAGCAGCCCAACTGGCTAAAACGCCAGACCAAATTCGCGTTTGACCGAGGGAACAAGGGTTCGAAACGCGCTAACTACAAATTTTTTGTTTATCTCGTTTTAGAGCAGAGAAGGGGGGAAGGGCAATTTGGTAAGCTCACAAAAGGACGGTGGCACGGGTACGTAATTAGTTAGAAACCCTAAGGGCAAAATCGTCGTTTGCATATGTGTATAAAATCAATCTCTTGAGACAAAAAAAAACCTAATCCTAATCTAAGGCCAGCGGCGGCCGCCCTCTTCCTCTCTCTCCTGTTCTCTCGATTCTTCCACTTCTCTCTTCCTCTTCCAGAAACAAATCAAACCTAGCCGCCTCTCTACACCTCAACTCCCTCTTCCAAAACCCCGAAACCCTTCTCCCTTCGTCAACGACCACCGCCACCTTCTTCTTCCCTTCTCATCTGGTTGGAGTTTCTTAGCTTAAGAATGGCCTTCTGCTTAATTTCACAAATTTCTGCATCAATTTTGTGTAAAAGAAAAATGAGCTCAAACTGTTTGTGTACTTCTGTAATGTAGTTTTCTTTTTTTCCCCCTCCAATCCCTCCTCCCTGAACTTTGTGGTAAAGCTTCTATTTATATCTGTTTTTCACTGTTCATTTAGGATTGGTGGCAGTTTTTAGTTCATAGATGGATTGGTGTTAGTTTTACATTGGTTTTCAAGGGGGTGGCCGCCTGCCACATTTTGAAGAGGCAGCTGTCACTTCTGCTGTTAGTTTTCAGTTGGTTTCCAGGGAGGGGGTGGCCGTTTTACTCCTTTCAAGAAATGGCAGTAATGATGGCTAGTCCTTTGGGATGGGATAAGGTACATTGACCTGAGTTGACCGAAGTTGACTCTGTGATTGGGCCTTTTGACTGGGTTAGGTCATGTTGACCAAGTATGGGCCGAAAGCCATGGGTCTGAATTAGGTTCATGATTTTAATTTGGGCTGAAACTAATATGTTTTACTCTTTTTTTCAATTTTGCAGGTAAACAATTCGTTTGGGCTCATAGTAGGAGGGCAATGACTTCAATTTGTTGACCGAATCTGTTTAGCGTTGTTATTGTAATTAGTTTATTGTGATTAGTTTTAATCCTTTATTATGGTGTCATTGCTACTATGTACAATGTAAATCTGATAATGAAGTCTTTGCCTTAATTCAATTTTGCAAAATTCATCTACCATTCCCAAATCCAAAGCAAACTTATAGCTCAACATGGAATTGATGTTAAGATTTGCTACTGCTAATCTTAACAAATCCAATCTTAGTAGCCTAAACAACTCGGTGATTACTAATGTTTACCGACTTGTCACTGCTAGTTTCAACCAAATTGATGCTAGTTTCAACCAAATTGATATTAGAATTACATTAAGTGAACTTGGACGTAATTGACTACCAAATTGATGCTAGTTTCAACCAAATTGATATTAGAATTACATTAAGTGAACTTGGACGTAATTGACTTGCTACTGCAATCTCAATCGATTATTTTGAAGTTTTTGTTTGATTTATCAATATCGATTTTCTTCTTTCGAATTTTAAGTGTAGTGTGTGCCCGGACAAAATGTGGTGTCTACAGTTGCCCCCCTTTGTATATCTCTTTGTATAAAGAGTTATACAAAGTTTCTGTAAAAGACATCACATTTTGAAAAGTCAAACTCTCATAAGAAGGATTTGAGCTAATCTTTGGTAACAACGACGTGTCCAGGTTGTTAAGATAATGGTAACCAAATTGTATAAGAAAATGGCAGTGATGAAATCAAACTGGCCATTCGTTAACAACTAACAACGATGTACTCAAGTTGTTCATGATAGAAACAAACCGATCAAATTGGAGAATGTTAGCGATGAAATCAAGCTAACCATTTTGTTAAAACGATGTACATAAGTTGTCTGTGGCAGAAACCACATTGGCCAATGAGAACAGTGATAGCGGTAACATCAAGCTAATCATTTTGGTAACCATGATATGCTCCAGTTTTCTAAGATTGAAATCAAATTTATCAATGTGAAAATGACTGCGATAAAATCAAGCTAACGATTGATTTTGTGAAGCATATTGTACTCAAATTGTTTGTGTTGGACATCAATTCAAACAATGAGAAAAGTGTTAGCAATAAAGATCAAGCTAACGATTTCATAAGGGACGTTGTACTCAAATTGCTTGTGATAGAAATCAAATCAAGCAATGAGGAAGACGTTAGTGATACAGATCAAACTAAAAAAATGTAAAGGATATCATACTCAAATTGTCTATGATAGAAATCAAATAGAACAATGAGGAAGATATTAGCAATAAAGATCAAGCTAACAATTTTGTAAATGATATTGTACTCAAATTGTCTATGATAGAAATCAAATAGAACAATGAGGAAGGCGTTAGCGATAAAGATCAAACTAACGATTTTGTAAAGGATATTGTACTCAAATTGTCTATGATAGGAATCAAATAGAACAATGAGGAATATGTTAGTGATAAAGATCAAACTAACAATTTTGTAAAGGATATTGTACTCAAATTGTCTATGATAGAAATCAAATAGAACAATGAGAAAAGCGTTAGCGATAAAGATCAAGCTAACGATTTGGTAAATGATATTGTACTCAAATTGTCTATGATAGAAATCAAATAGAACAATGAGGAAAGTGTTAGCGATAAAGATCAAACTAACAATTTTGTAAATGATATTGTACTCAAATTGTCTATGATAGAAATCAAATAGAACAATGAGGAAATGTTAGTGATAAAGATCAAACTAACAATTTTGTAAAGGATATTGTACTCAAATTGTCTATGATAGAAATCAAATAGAAAAATGAGAAAGATGTTAGTGATAAAGATCAAACTAACAATTTTGTAAATGATATTGTACTCAAATTGTCTATGATAGAAATCAAATAGAACAATGAGGAATATGTTAGTGATAAAGATCAAACTAACAATTTTGTAAATGATATTGTACTCAAATTGTTTGTGATATGAATCAAATCAAACAATGAGAAATGTGCTAGCGACAAAGATCAAGCTAACATTTGGTAAATGCGTAGTTGTATTTCGCAGAAAAATGTTTTCACGTACATTTAGAAAGATATTTTAGGAATTTTAGGAAGTGATCGTGATGCATAGCAAGTCACCTTGACGTATGATGATGTTATGAAGCGGGTATTGAAATAATTATGTGTGATGTCATGCTGGTGAAGTCATGAATGTTGAGTGACATGATCCTTTTGAAATTAGGTATGCCAATATGTTGTTTTGTTTTGTTGGTTATTTTGTTTTTACTCGGGGTTCCTTTAAATTGCTCATCCTCCAGGAACTATCATTTCCCTTTTGATCAACTCAATCCATAGGTCATGCTTATGTTGGAGAGACTTTGAACTTGTTGTCTTGAGGTGTATCTTTTTGGTGATAGTTGCGTAAAGATATGCTTTGTAAGTTGAAATGATGATGTATGTCGCCTTAATCCTCTTGTTGGTCAGGCTTGGAGCGACTTTCGACTTGTTGTCTCAGGATATATCTTCTTCATGGAAGTGGTGTGACAATATACTTTGTCGAATGAGTTGAGGATGTGTACTGCTTCATCATTCTTGATGGGCAAGCTTGGACCCAGAAGTTTCAGAGTTGTGTATCTCTTGGAATGTGCGGTATAGTAGGACTTCCTTCTTGCTGTGCAGTTGAAGTATAATTGATTGGCTGATTGGCTTGATGAGATATGAATGTTCTCAGGAGATTTCCTCATCAACTCGTGAGTGAAAGTCGATTAATTTGATTTTTGGGTACTCAGACTTCCCTTTCTTCCATGGTGGACCATTTTTGCCCCCGAAGATCCGTTACTCACTTTCCATTCTTCGGATCAAAGAGTGACTATATCAATCTTGACTTAAGACGAAAGCAAAAATGTTTGAAAAGCGTTTATTAGAGAATTAAAAGTGAAAGCCGTGTCAAGACTTTGGTTTTAAGAAGTGTGTGCAAACTGGACAAAAATCGTTTTTGTGTGGTAGTTGTCATATTGCCAAATTTGGTTTTCTAAGAAAAGTGTAAGCCAAGCCATGAGAATATCAGTAAGCCCTCGCTCTCACTCTTGCTTTTGACTTTGATCGCTCTCACTCCCGCTTTGGATTTCGCTCAACACTCATTCCTATAGGTGATTTGAGTGTACGACACTTCAGCTACCATTAAGATTCTGGTCGCCTTGAGACGTCGCCTATATGCTGTAACCAACTGTGTTCCTTGTGAAGATTTAACTCAAATATGGAACCCCTTGGCATGAATGATTTAGGAGGCCTCCATATGGCTTCGTCGCAGACATTTTTAGTCTCCCATGAAAGAGGCTTTTGCCCGATATGACCTCGAGGATACGAATCTCCTTGTTCTTGAAATGTAGTTTATTCAGATGGGTAACGAATGTATGAAATCTTGACATTATCGCTATAAAGCCTCTCGAAGAGGGACTTTTGCTTTGCCCCCAAAGTATGGGATTGACTTGATGGATTAAGAATCACTTATTATCTGGATCATTTTGCTGACAAAGTCTTGTTCGAAAATACTGGTGGATTTTCTCAGAATGTTTCTTCAACTGGATTTGCCCCCCAGTATTTTTCACTAGCCGAAGCTGTGATTTTCGTAAATGCAATCTGGCTTGGGACTTGTCGAGGTCCTTGTTTGGCCTCTAAATGTTGAATGTTGTGGATTTTCAGCTTCTGGCTTTCTCTCAAAATGATGAGTACTTTGGATGATGGGTTTTGGCTAGAACGACTTTCTTATCATCACAGTTTACTGTTTGAAGGTCCTTCTTGCCGTATCTTGAGATTGATCTGCTAAGACCCTGACTTGGTGCAGGTATTTGGTACTTCAAATGCTAAACCGGGGGCACCCAGATTGTAAGTCCCACGACATTTTGTTTGTTCTTCTTTTGTCTTTTTTTGCTTTTTTTTTTTTTTTTGCGTGTGGGACTTACTTGACTCTGTCATGCCCCCGACTATGCTTTTTCTTTCTTAATCTGGAGCTTGTCTTTGGTGGGACGAGTATTGAAAGGATCGAGAGTCCATTTTGATGATTGATTGTGTGGGTGTCACTTCTCGTGAGCTAGGTTGAATTGGCTATTCGTTTTGTAGAAGTCAGGATTTTGATACCATGCGCTTGTTTGTATAGATGAGTGCTTCACTCGTGTGATTCTTGGGTTTTGATAAATGGGATCCCTGAACTTCCTGGTCTTCTTGTCACTAGACACTTGTGAGGGTTTTCTTGGTATGATGCTAATGTTTTGGCTCCCTATGCATCGGGATTGACCATTTGACTTCTTGTAAACTGAATGTCAATCCGTTGGCGAAAGTCGACTATAGTGGTGTCGAGATTCTACAAGTAGCATGATGTCGTATACTCATTACATCTTTTTCCTATTAGCTCACATAATTTATGGACACCAGTAGGGTGTTTATCCCTTGATTTTAGCGAAACACGTACACTCTCAACGCAGTGGGTGCTAAATTTATCGATGGTAGCATGGTGTTTATAATCGCTCGACACCAGTGGGGTGTCCCAAATCTCAGCACCAGTGGGGTGCTCACATTTTCTTTGCATGAAAATCTCATGGCTTAGCTTGAAAATAAAACTGGATTTTGATGGCTTTCATGTTTGAGAAAATAAATCTGTTTTAAAAAAAAGAATCCGAAGTGGCATTCGTTATTTTGATAAAAACATTGATGCAAACTCTTAAATTTAGATTGATAGTGGTCACACAATGCTCCAAAGAGGTCAAAACGTGAGAGACCTTTTATTTATTATGATAAAAGCAGAAGTGATACATATTTTGCTAAGGCAAATTATCTCGATATTTTATTTACTAGGTAGGATCAACATCATCCTTAAATCGAGCTTTGCCTTGTAGTATGTCTACTAATTCCCATGAGTTGGCAGTGGGTTATTGTTGACATCTGGACGCTTTGGCTCATCTTCGAACTTTAACCAGCCAGTATTCATCATTTGTTGGACCTTGATCTTGAGCGATCTGCAGTCCTCAGTCGAGTGTCCCGCTACTCCCGAGTGGTAAGCACAATGTTGGTCTGTTTTGTACCAATTTGGATAAGGAGGTTTCATAGGTTCACATGGTATTGGGGAGATTAGGTTACTTTGAATTAGCTGAGGGAAAAGTTCAGTGTATGTGATAGGGATAGGATCGATTTGGATGGGTTTCCTGAACCTCTCATAATTATTCTGGTTTTGGTTATTTGGTGGTGGTGCGACTCGTGTCGGGCTCTGGATGGCTCGTTGAGTAGGAAAATTTGGACGTTGATTAATTATTGCAGCATTTGCAACACATGGATGGGCTTGATTGGCTTGAGGTTGATGATCCCACCTTCTTCCTCTGGGTAATTCTGTTTGAGCATAATGGACATCTGCTTCTCCTCTTCGGGCTTGGTGTGGTTTCTTAGAGGCTTCTGGGGTTTCCATCCGACCTTGCTTCAAACCCTTTTCTATTCGCTCTCCGATTACAAGCAGATCCGCAAAGTTGGTTGTGGTAATTCCGACCATGTTGTTGTAGTATGGAGCCCTTAGTGTTCCGAAGAAGATTGACACCATCTCTTTTTCTGACAGAGGAGGTTGAACATCTGCAGCTTTCTCTCTCCACCTTTGAGCATATTCTCTGAAAGACTCTTTCTCATTCTTTTCCATATTCCTCAGATCTTCTCGGTCTGGAGCCAGATCCTGGTTATGCTTGTAGTGCCTCATGAATGCATCTGCGAGGTCTTGCCATCTTCTCACTTTTGTTTTCTCTAGTTGCATATACCATCGTAGGGCAGAACTACTCAGGCTGTTTTGGAAGCAATGTACCATTAGTCTTTCATCTCGAATATGGTTGGCCATTTTGTTACAGTACATGACCAGATGACTTTTTGGGCAAGTGGTGCCATTGTATCTTTCAAATTCTGGCATTTGAAATTTGTGAGGAATCACGACATCTGGGACCAGACATAGTTTTGATGCATCCATAGGCTCGTACGACTCAACTCCTTCTATGCTTCTTATTCGTTCATTCAAGTGTTCTAATTTTTCTTCTAGCATAGCTTCAATTTTATGTTCCTCTTGCTTCTCGGGTTCTCCGGATTTGTCATGCTTTGATGACCCAATATCACCTTTTTCGCCTGTGTTCTTCGAAGGTATGAGAATGAATTTACTACCTGAGACGTTTCCCTGAGGTTGCTCATAGTGATCGTCGTCATCAAATACGATTTCTTCCTCGTTCGTTGCAACCTCCTTCCCTTTTCTGTACAATATGCTCACTATTGTGTTGAGCTGGCTTTTCATCTCATCGAAGCCCGTTAGTTTCTCATCGAACCCCACTAGCTTCTCGTCAAACCCGGTCAGCTTTCCTTTGATGTCGTTCAACTCTTTTTGAAATGCATCCATAAAGACCTCGAGCTTGGATCTAGTTAAGTACTTGAAGTCTTGATTTTTTCCTTGTGGACGAGCAATTTTAAGGAACCCTGACCAATTACTTTTATTAAATTGACTTGAATGAACGATGGAGAGTATGTATGATGCTTATGCGATGCACAGATGCACGTGCATTTTGAAAATGTTTTCATGATTTATTTTAAATGCATAAATGAAAACACAAAAAGAGAATGATGCTTATGAGTCTATTTTTTCAAAGAAGAAAAGAAAATTCACATTGTTCTCACAAATAAATATATTGCACTTGGGAGAACATACCACAAGTTATCACGTTAGAAAACACACATATATAGATAATAAAAATATAACCCTATTTGGGAAAACCTAGGGCTTTCAGAGGGCATAATGACGTGGTGCTAGGGTTGTCTCAGGATTATTTTGGACGGTTTAGGGAGGCCTCTATGCTTACTATATGCTGGCAGAGGGATTCCTAGGGATTTGGCTCCCAAGTTGTATCCTGCCACAGCCCTTACGAACTGGCTGGATACCTCAAGATCAACCTCGGATCTGAGTTCAACTTGGTTGGAAAGTTTTGCGTGCTTTCCACTACTGTGAAAGTCACGGTACTCCTTTTCCGTTTCTAATAGGATAGCTCGGGTATAGAGCTTTTATGCATGAATGCAGAATTAAATTGCGAAAATATAATTGCGCAAATAAGAAAGTAAACACCCAACACGTAATAGAAAATTAGAAAACTTATCGAACTTAGTTATGTAGCTCGACTCTCGAAGTCCCCAGCGGAGTCGCCAACTGTCGCAACCGTCCCGTCCGGGGGGGGTCCGAATGTCGTCGCGTCGGCGTTTTTGGGAGTCGCCATCGATCTTACTTTGAGTGGATCGAACACTCTTCGGTCGGCTCTAACCTTAGTGTCAGAACCGAGGCATGGTCTGCGAAAATAAAGTTCTGGGTTCGGGAGTACGGTTACGTGTGGGGAAGTTAAGCAACACCCCCACAACGCCCTAAATCGGTACTACTTAAGTTGATAAGTTTTTGTATTCGTTGGGTGTATTTTTAGTAATTATTTTATATTTTTGGGGTCCCACTGGACCATTTAATGATTTAATCGTATTAGTTATAATTTAATTATACGCCCACTGACGTAAAAATTTAAAGATAAAGTTAGTTGATTAATTGGACTCGAACCTTACAGGTTGCCTACGTACCCGTTAGACGGGATCGAAGTCCACGTAGTTCGTTTGAACTTTGATAATTTAATTGTAATCACGTTCCACTGATCGTGAATTTCGTATTATAATTTTGTTAATAAAAATTCATTTAGATTATCATGAGGTTATGACAAAAAATGCAAGTGTTTTAGTTATTAGGAAGTATTATGACGTAAAAAAAAACGAGATATACTTAATCCGCAATTCTACATTTCGTATTAAGGATTTTAAATGAATAAAACTATACGGGATTATAAAATTAACGCATGAGGGCTAGCAGCCCAACTGGCTAAAACGCCAGACCAAATTCGCGTTTGACCGAGGGAACAAGGGTTCGAAACGCGCTAACTACAAATTTTTTGTTTATCTCGTTTTAGAGCAGAGAAGGGGGGAAGGGCAATTTGGTAAGCTCACAAAAGGACGGTGGCACGGGTACGTAATTAGTTAGAAACCCTAAGGGCAAAATCGTCGTTTGCATATGTGTATAAAATCAATCTCTTGAGACAAAAAAAAACCTAATCCTAATCTAAGGCCAGCGGCGGCCGCCCTCTTCCTCTCTCTCCTGTTCTCTCGATTCTTCCACTTCTCTCTTCCTCTTCCAGAAACAAATCAAACCTAGCCGCCTCTCTACACCTCAACTCCCTCTTCCAAAACCCCGAAACCCTTCTCCCTTCGTCAACGACCACCGCCACCTTCTTCTTCCCTTCTCATCTGGTTGGAGTTTCTTAGCTTAAGAATGGCCTTCTGCTTAATTTCACAAATTTCTGCATCAATTTTGTGTAAAAGAAAAATGAGCTCAAACTGTTTGTGTACTTCTGTAATGTAGTTTTCTTTTTTTCCCCCTCCAATCCCTCCTCCCTGAACTTTGTGGTAAAGCTTCTATTTATATCTGTTTTTCACTGTTCATTTAGGATTGGTGGCAGTTTTTAGTTCATAGATGGATTGGTGTTAGTTTTACATTGGTTTTCAAGGGGGTGGCCGCCTGCCACATTTTGAAGAGGCAGCTGTCACTTCTGCTGTTAGTTTTCAGTTGGTTTCCAGGGAGGGGGTGGCCGTTTTACTCCTTTCAAGAAATGGCAGTAATGATGGCTAGTCCTTTGGGATGGGATAAGGTACATTGACCTGAGTTGACCGAAGTTGACTCTGTGATTGGGCCTTTTGACTGGGTTAGGTCATGTTGACCAAGTATGGGCCGAAAGCCATGGGTCTGAATTAGGTTCATGATTTTAATTTGGGCTGAAACTAATATGTTTTACTCTTTTTTTCAATTTTGCAGGTAAACAATTCGTTTGGGCTCATAGTAGGAGGGCAATGACTTCAATTTGTTGACCGAATCTGTTTAGCGTTGTTATTGTAATTAGTTTATTGTGATTAGTTTTAATCCTTTATTATGGTGTCATTGCTACTATGTACAATGTAAATCTGATAATGAAGTCTTTGCCTTAATTCAATTTTGCAAAATTCATCTACCATTCCCAAATCCAAAGCAAACTTATAGCTCAACATGGAATTGATGTTAAGATTTGCTACTGCTAATCTTAACAAATCCAATCTTAGTAGCCTAAACAACTCGGTGATTACTAATGTTTACCGACTTGTCACTGCTAGTTTCAACCAAATTGATGCTAGTTTCAACCAAATTGATATTAGAATTACATTAAGTGAACTTGGACGTAATTGACTACCAAATTGATGCTAGTTTCAACCAAATTGATATTAGAATTACATTAAGTGAACTTGGACGTAATTGACTTGCTACTGCAATCTCAATCGATTATTTTGAAGTTTTTGTTTGATTTATCAATATCGATTTTCTTCTTTCGAATTTTAAGTGTAGTGTGTGCCCGGACAAAATGTGGTGTCTACAATAGGAATCAAATAGAACAATGAGGAATATGTTAGTGATAAATATCAAACTAACAATTTCGTAAATAACATTGTACTCAAATTGTCTATGATAGAAATCAAATAGAACAATGAGAAAAGTGTCAGCGATAAAGATCAAGCTAATAATCTTGTAAATAACGTTTTACTCAAATTGCTTGCGATAGGAATCAAATCAAGCAATGAGAATATGCTAGTGATAAAGATCAAACTAACAATTTCGTAAAGGATATTGTACTCAAATTGTCTATGATAGAAATCAAATAGAACAATGAGAAAAGTGTTAGCGATAAAAGTCAAACTAACAATTTTGTAAAGGATATTGTACTCAAATTGTCTATGATAGAAATCAAATAGAACAATGAGAAAGATGTTATTGATAAAAATCAAACTAACAATTTTGTAAAGGATATTGTACTCAAATTGTCTATGATAGAAATCAAATAGAACAATGAGAAAAATGTTAGTGACAAAGATCAAACTAACAATTTTGTAAATGATATTGTACTCAAATTGTCTATGATAGAAATCAAATAGAACAATGAGAAAAGTGTCAGTGATAAAGATCAAACTAACAATTTTGTAAATGATATTGTACTCAAATTGTCTATGATAGAAATTAAATAGAACAATGAGAAAACTGTTAGCAATAAAGATCAAGCTAACAATTTTGTAAAGGATATTGTACTCAAATTGTCTATGATAGAAATCAAATAGACCAATGAGAAAAATGTCAGTGATAAAGATCAAACTAACAATTTTGTAAATGATATTGTACTCAAATTGTCTATGATAGAAATCAAATAGAACAATGAGAAAAATGTCAGTGATAAAGATCAAACTAACAATTTTGTAAATGATATTGTACTCAAATTGTCTATGATAGAAATCAAATAGAACAATGAGAAATGTTAGTGATAAAGATCAAACTAACAATTTTGTAAATGATATTGTACTCAAATTGTTTGTGATATGAATCAAATCAAACAATGAGAAATGTTAGTGATAAAGATCAAACTAACAATTTTGTAAATGATATTGTACTCAAATTGTTTGTGATATGAATCAAATCAAACAATGAGAAATGTGCTAGCGATAAAGATCAAGCTAACATTTGGTAAATGCGTAGTGGTATTTCGCATAAAAAGGTTTTCACGTACATTTAGAAAGATATTTTAGGAATTTTAGGAAGTGATCGTGATGCATAGCAAGTCACCTTGACGTATGATGATGTTATGCAGTGGGTATTGAAATAATTATGTATGATGTCATGCTGGTGAAGTCATGAATGTTGAGTGAAAATGACAAAACGATGATCTTTACAATTGGTACGCAAATATGTTGTTTTGTTTTCGCTTTGATTTTTATTTTGTGTTTTAACCTGGGGTCCTTTAAATTGCTCATCCTCCAGGAATCGTCATTTCCTTTCGATTGACTCGATCCTTAGGTCATGCTTTATGTTGGAGTGACTTTGAACTCGTTGTCTTGAATATATCTTCTTGGTAGTAGTTGTGCGATGATATGCTTTGTAAGGTGAAGTGATGATGTGTACTGCTTTATCCTTCTTCTCGGCCAGGTATGGGCCCACACGTTTCAGAGTCGTATAATTCTCAGTCAGTGCGGAATAATAAGACTTATTTCTTGCTATGCATTTGAAGCATAATCGATTGGCTGGTTGGCTCAATGAGATCTGAATGTTTCCAGACTCCCTGAGATTTTCCCATCAACTCATGCGTGAAAAGTTGATTAATCCGATTCTTGGGTACTCAGACTTCCCCTTCTTCCATGATGCACCCATTTTGCCCCCGAAGATCCGTTACTCACTTTCTATTCTTCGGAACAAAGAGTGACTATATCAATCTTGACTTAAGACAAAAGCAAAAATGTTTGAAAAACGTTTATTAGAGAATTAAAATTGAAAGCCATGTCAAGACTTTGGTTTCGAGAAGTGTGTGCAAACTGGAGAAAACCGTTTTTGTGTGGTAGTTGTCATATTGCCGAATTTGGTTTTCTAAGAGAAATGTAAGCCAAGCCATGAGAAGTCAGTAAGCTCGCTCTCACTCTTGCTTTCGATTTCGATTTTGATCACTCTCACTCCCGCTTTGGATTCGCTCAACACTCATTCCTATAGGTGATTTGAGTGTACGACACTTCAGCTACCGTTAAGATTCTGGTCACCTTGAGACGTTGCCTATAGGTTGTGACCGACTGTGTTCCTTGTGAAGATTTACTCAAATATGGAAGCCCTTGGTATGAATGATTTAGGAGGTCTCCATATGGATTCGTCGCAGATATTTTCAGTCTCTCATGAAAGAGGATTTTGTCCGATATGACCTTGAGGATACGAGTCTCCCTGTTCTTGAGGTGTAGTTTATTCAGATGGGTGGCGAGTATATGAAATCTTGACATTATCCGTATAAAATTTCTTGTAGAGGGATTTTGGCTTTTGCCCCCAGAGTATGTGATTGACTTGATGGGTTAACAACCACTATTATCCGGATCCTTTTTGCTAGTGAAGTCTTGTTCGAAAATACTGGCGGTTTTTTTTTTTGGAATGTATCTTCAGTTGGCTTTGCCCCCTGTCTTTGGAATTATTGTTCAAAGGCCGAGGTGGGGATTTTTTGTGAGTGCAACATGGCTAGGGACTTCTCGAGATCCTTTTTTGGCCTCTAAATGTTGAATGCTGTGGATTTTTAGCTTCTGGCTTTCTCTCAAAATGATGAGTACCTTGGATGATGTGGTTTTGGCTATGACGGGTTTCTTATCATGGAAGTTTCTTGCTTGAAGGTCCTCATTGCTGTATCTTGAGGTTGGTTGGCAAAGATCTTGGCTTGGTACCGATAGTTGGTACTTCAAATGCTAAACCGGGGGTACCTAGATTGTAAGTCCCACGACATTTTGTTTGTTTTTCTTTTGTCCTTTTTTCTTTGCTTTTTTTTTTGTATGGGACTTGCTTGACTCTGTCATGCCCCCATATACGTTTCACATTTTCCTAAATCTAACACATGTATTTGGTAGGACGATTATCGAAAGGTAGAGAGTCTTCTTGATGATCGATGATGTGAGTGCCACTTCTCAATAACTAGATTAAATTTGCCATTCTTTTTGGTAAAGCGTGGATGTTGACACCGTGTGCTAGCCGGTATTGCGTAAATATCTCACAATCAAACTTTGACGTGTGAGTTTAATGGATGTTTTCTGCCTGTAAGGATGTAAGCTCTTGTACCTAGTATATGAGTGCTTCCTGTGTGTGATTCCTTAGCACGATAAATTATATCCTTGATCTTCCTCAATCCTTTAGTCACGAGACTCTGTGAGGCGTTTCTTGTTGTGATAGTAATGTTATGGCTCCCTGTGCATCAGGATTTGGCTATTTGACTTCATGTTATCTGAGTCAATTTGTTGGCGAAAGGCGACTATAGTGGTGACGAGATTCTACAAGTAGCATGATGTCGTATACTCATCACACCTTTTGACTATTAACTCACGTAATTCATGGTTACCAGTAGGGTGTCTATCTCTCGATTTTAGCAAATTGCCCACACTCTCAATCGCTAGTGGGTGCTCAAAATATCGATAGTAGCATGATGTTTAATAATTGCTCGACACCAGTGGGGTGTCCCGAATCTCAACACTAGTGGGGTGATCACATTTTCTTGGCATGAAAATCTCATGGCTTAGCTCAAAAATAAAACTGGATTTTGATGGCTTTCATTTTTGAGAAAATGAATATGTTAAAAAAAAAAGATTATGAAGTGGCATTCGTTATTTTGATAATGAAAAATCATTGATGCGAACTCTTAAATTTAGATTGATAGTGGTCACACAATGCTCCAAAGAGTCGAAACGTGAGAGACCTTTTATTTATGATGATAAAAGCAAACGTGATACATATTTTGCTATGGCAAATTATCTCGATATTTTATTTACTAGATAGGATCAACATCATCCTTAAATCGAGATTTGCCTTGTAGTATGTCTACTAATTCCCATGAGTTGGCAGTGGGTTATTGTTGACATCCGGACGCTTTGGCTCATCTTCGAACTTTAACCAGCCAATATTCATCATTTGTTGGACCTTGATCTTGAGCGATCTGCAATCCTCAGTCGAGTGTCCCGCTACTCCCGAGTGGTAAGCACAATGTTGGTCTGTTTTGTACCAATTTAGATAAGGAGGTTTCATAGGTTCACATGGTATTGGGGAGATTAGGTTACTTTGAATCAGCTGAGGGAAAAGTTCAGTGTATGTGATAGGGATAGGATCGATTTGGATGGGTTTCCTGAACCTCTCATAATTATTCTGGTTTTGGTTATTTGGTGGTGGTGCGACTCGTGTCGGGCTCTGGATGGCTCGTTGAGTAGGAAAATTTGGACGTTGATTAATTATTGCAGCATTTGCAACACATGGATGGGCTTGATTGGCTTGAGGTTGATGATCCCACCTTCTTCCTCTGGATGATTCTGCTTGAGCATAATGGACATCTACTTCTCCTCTTCGGGCTTGGTGTGGTTTCTTAGAGGCTTCTGGGGTTTCCATCCGACCTTGCTTCAAACCCTTTTCTATTCGCTCTCCGATTACAAGCAGATCCGCAAAGTTGGTTGTGGTAATTCCGACCATGTTGTTGTAGTATGGAGCCCTTAGCGTTCCGAAGAAGATTGACACCATCTCTTTTTCTGACAGAGGAGGTTGAACGTCTGCAGCTTTCTCTCTCCACCTTTGAGCATATTCCCTGAAAGACTCTTTCTCATTCTTTTCCATATTCCTCAGATCTTCTCGGTCTGGAGCTAGATCTTGGTTATGCTTGTAATGCCTCATGAATGCATCGGCTAGGTCTTGCCATCTTCTTACTTTTGTTTTCTCTAGTTGCATATACCATCGTAGGGCAGAACCACTCAGGCTGTTTTGGAAGCAATGTACCATTAGCCTTTCATCTCGGATATGGTTGGCCATTTTGTTGCAGTACATGACCAGATGGCTTTTTGGGCAAGTGGTGCCATTGTATATTTCGAATTCTGGCATTTGAAATTTGTGAGGAATCACGACATCTGGGACTAGACATAGTTTTGATGCATCCATAGGCTCGTATGACTCAACTCCTTCTATGCTTCTTATTCGTTCATTCATGTGTTCTAATTTTTCTTCTAGCATAGCTTCGATTTTATGTTCCTCTTGCTTCTCGGGTTCTCCGGATTTGTCATGCTTTGATGACCCAATGTCACCTTTGTCGCCTGTGTTCTTTGAAGGTATGAGGATGAATTTACTACCCGAGACGTTTCCCTGAGGTTGCTCATAGTGATCGTCGTCGTCAAATACGATTTCTTCCTCATTCGTTGCAACCTCCTTTCCCTTTCTTGACAATATGCTCAATATTGTGTTGAGCTGGCTTTTCATCTCATCGAAACCAGTTAGTTTCTCATCGAACCCCACTAACTTCTCATCAAACCCTGTCAGCTTTCCTTTGATGTCGTTCAACTCTTTTTGAAATGCCTCCATGACTAGCTCGAGCTTAGATCTTGTTAAGTACTTGAAGTCTTGACTTTTTCCTTGTGGACGAGCAATTTTAAGGAACCTTGACCAATTAATTTTATTAAATTGACTTGAATGAGTAATGGAGAGTATGTATTATGCTTATGCGATGCACAGATGCACATATGATTCATTGGATGCACGTGCACTTTGAAAATGTTATTATGATTTATTTTAAATGCATAAATGAAAATACAAAAAGAGAATGATGCTTATGAGTTTATTTTTTTCAAAGAAGAAAAGAAAATTCACATTGTTCTCACAAATAAATATATTGCGATTGGGAGAACATATCACAAGTTATCACGTTAGTACAAAACATACATATAGGTAATAAAAACATAACCCTATTTGGGAAAACCTAGGGGTTTCAGAGGGCATAATGACGCGGTGCTAGGGTTGTTTCAGGATTATTTTGGACGGTTTAGGTAGGCCTCTATGCTTACTATATGCTGGTAGAGGAATTCCTAGGGATTTGGCTCCCAAGTTGTATCCTGCCATAGCCCTTACGAACTAGCTGGATACCTCAAGATCCACCTCGGATCTGAGTTCAACTTGGTTGGAAAGTTTTGCGTGATTTCCACTACTGTGAAAGTCACGGTACTCCTTTTCCGATTGTAATAGGATAGCTCGGGTATAGAGCTTTTGTGCATGAATGCAGAATTAAATTGCGAAAATATAATTGTGCAAATAAGAAAGTAAACACCCAACACGTAATAGAAAATTATAAAACTTATCGAACTTAGTTATGTAGCTCGACTCTCGAGGTCCCCAGCGGAGTCGCCAACTGTCGCAACCGTCCCGTCCAGGGGTCCGTATGTCGTCGCGTCGGCATTTTTGGGAGTCGCCATCGATCTTAGTTGGAGTGGATCGAACACTCTTTGGATCGGCTCTAACCTTAGGGTCGGAACCGAGATATGGTCTGCGGTTAAGAGATATGGGTTCGGGAGTACGGTTACGTGTGGGGAAGTGAAATCACACCCCACAACGCAATAAATCGGTACTACTTAAGTCGATAAGTTTTTATGAGTTAGGTGTATTTTTATTAATAATTTAGTAAATTTAGGGTCCCAATGGACCATTAAAAATATTAAATCGTATTAATTATAATTTAATTGTACGTCCACTGACGTAAAAATTAAAAATGGAATTAATTGGTTAGTTGGACTCGAACCTTATCGGTTGCCTACGTACCCGTTAGACGGGATCAAAGTCCACGTAGTTCGTTCGAACTTTGATAATTTAATTGTAATCACGTTCCATTGATCGTGATTTTCGTATGATAATTTTGTTAATAAAAATTCATTTAGATTATTATGAGGTTATGACAATAAATGCAAGTATTTTAGCTATTAGGAAGTATTTTGGCGTATTAAAAAACGAGATAAACTTAATACGCATTCTACATTTCGTATTAAGGATTTAAAACAAATAAAACTAAATGGGATTACCATATAAATGCGTGATGGGCCGGCAGCCCAACTGGCTAAAACGTCAGGCCAAAATTGCGTTTGACCCAGAGGATGAGGGTTCAAAATGCGCTGGCGGAGACATTTTTATTTCTCGTTGTGGTGCCCCAAAAAGGGGAAGGGTATTGTGGTAATTACCCAAAAACACGGTGGCACGGCGGCGTTAATATTTGGAAAACCTAAGGGCATTTTTGTCATTTCAAATTAGGGGTATATATTCATCTCTTAGGTCGAAAATCAAACCCTAACTATTCAGAGCTAGCGGCCGCCGCTTAGCCTCTCTCTCTCGTCCCTCTCTCTCTCGTCCAGAGAAACCCAACCCTAGCCCAAACAAAACCCCAAATGTCCGCCGTCACTCTCTCCTCTCCTCTCTCTCTCGCGTTCTTCTTCTCTAATCCAAGAAAGGGAAACCGACAACCTAGCTCTCTCTCCTCTGCGCCGCCGTCTTCTCACTTTCTCAGCTGGCCAAGGGAATCGCTTGTATCAAGTTAAATCGACCTAGAAGGTCTCGATCTAGGTAAGATCCTAGACATGCATGGCCTTTTTCTTTCTATTTTCTGATTTTTCAATGGATTCTACTAAGTTTCTTTTCGTTTTCTTTTTCATTTCTGGAGAAATCAACCCAAGCCAAGGTGGGGACTTGTCGATCTACCTTCCTCGCCGAAACGACGGCGGTGATGGGTGAATCCTACCCTCTGGTAAGTCTTTTTTGACATGCAGGCTCGTTTTCGTTCGATTTAGGTTATTTTATTTGGGATTCAGCTAATATTTATTTCATTTTTTTGTATTTTGGATTTGGTTGGCGGTGAGGCTTTGCTGAGGACGATATTCAGTTCCAAAAAAAAGGTTAGGACTTCGACTCCTAAATTTATGTTAATCTAACGTTTTTACTTATTAACAAAAAAAAACTTAGGCTAATTCATTCTTTTTTTATAGGTTTGAAAGAGAGGCCAGATCTGGGTAAGGCTCTTCTAACCTCGGTTTTGGTATGACTAGGGATGATTTAACTAAGTAAATTGTTGATTTGGGATTGATTAGCAGATCTGAGTATTAGAAAGTAAGTTTTGTGAATAAGTTTTGAAAAAATTGGATTTTGGTGTTTTGATGGGTTTGATGAATGGATTCGGATGTAGTATTTGATATATTAGAAGTTGCTAAAATGATTTTTAATCTAATTAACATAGACTAAACTGCTTATTTTGGCTATTATAAATCACCGCCACTGCCTGTGATTTTGCGAAATTGGTATGGGTTTAAACTCTATAACTTATGGAGCTTGAGTGATTTTTGTTGGATTTGGATCCAGGTTGATCCAAGGACGTCGAAAAAGTTTGTTTTGATTGTTATATAAGGAAAAAATATGTGCTATATCTAGTTTTACTTTAGTATGTACATGTATATGTATGTATGGCTACGAATGAGAAAATCTAAACATGGCAAAAAGAGTTTGAAACAAAACATCCAACTCTAGTCATAGTTAAGTTAATCGGCATGATAGTAATCGCATAGCCAAAACTATTAATATGAGAAGGAAAAAAACTTTAATGATAGAGCCTAATGAAATTGATAAGAGTAGATCTTGATAAATAATATTTGACCATCACATAGCTTGTATTGGAAAATACTCAAGAGTATAAATATGCAAATAGATGGATGATTGTATAACGTCATAACGATTGTATAAATTTGATAAAAATGAAAGATGAAGTTGATACAAGTACCAACCTAGATCAAGGCCTAAGAATGGCCTTTTTCCTACAACGATCTTCAAATCTGCTCCTTCAATCTCGTGTCCCCACTGAACTTCGGCTACGGGCAAGAACAAAAAGACGATCCCTTTGCAATGTGGATGTCTATATATTTTTCCTGTGTTTTTCTTCTCCAGTCCTCCCCCAAAACAAAGAGCCCCAAGAGCCCATTTATAGCAAAAAAGCTGTCCCACGTGTCTTTTCTTCATTGGTCGATTTTGAGGCCCATTGTGAGGCCTCCAGCACAGTTGGTCGGTTCTGCCTGGTCAGGATAGGGTTGGCACACAGTTTTAAGCTAAAATGGCAGAGCTGTGGGCCTGTATTTTGGGCCGACTTGGCCTTCGTTTGGGCTTGGATGTTTGTTGGGCCGAGCTCTGGGCTAGGAATTAGGCCTTGATCTGACTGGTTTTCTCTTATGTTGCAGGTCTCCAGGGCTGGGCCTAAAATGAGGGGCTGAAGAAAAGAACTAGTCTTTCTTTGTTTATGTAGAATTTGTAATGGCCCATGTAATTACATTTTCCTTCAATGTCAATGTGATTCTCGATGCAAATTACGATGTAAGAAATCAATTAGCAAAGTTTATTTTAGTCTTTACTGATTCGTGCTCTGTATATTGTAATTCATATCAACATCCAAAACAGGAAGCGTACTAAATTCCTAATCTCAATGCGTAGAACAATAATTGATAATCATTGGTTCATATTGACTTGCTACTGCTAGTCTCAATCAATTCACTTCAAGTTACCTTTCCAAATATAATTGTGATACAATTAGGGCCTGATTCCGGACAAAATGTGGTGTCTACAGTCATGAACTGAAGAAGAAAGGATTTCTAACTCATTTTATGGAAAAATAATCATGTAAGTTTGTCATGAAAAGAACAAGAACGAGACTACGAGCGTCTGAGATTAAACGACGACTGATTCTGAGTCCGGATGAGGGAGAAAGGAATCATCAAAGACACTGGAAAATGAGTAGAGGAAGAAACACGGCTAAGAGAAACACAGTCGTGTTTGTCCTCCCGCAATCATGTTTTTAGTGCCAATAAGAAGCAAGGGAAATGCTGAAACAGGGCCTGACAAACATGGCCGTGTTTCTGCCCTATGCTCGGATATAAGTCTGATTTTTGCGATTTTTTAGAGGGAGAGCTAGGTTTTGGTTCCCAAACACCCAAGGGACGAACCCTACAGAGATAGAGCAACTTGGGATAATTCTTGGAGCTATTTTGGAGGATTTATTTGCCAATTCTTCTCGGAAATTAAGCTTGGAGATGGAGATTGAAGATCTAGATCAGATTTCTGCATTCTCTCTCTTCTCTGTGGAGTAACTTCCCTTCACTTAGGTTTTGAGGAACCCTAGTTCCATGTGTTAGGATCTTTCTTGTATGAACCTTTGGATGTTATACTTAGGGGTGGTAATCGGTAAACCGGTATTCGGTAATACCGGATACCGTACCGGATACCGAATACCGTCGGTATCGGTATTCGGGCATGATATTTTACATTCGGTAATACCGGATAAGAGTCGGTAGTTACCGACGCTATACCGGTATACCGTAATACTGATTATTAAAAAAAATAAAAAAAGAGCAAAACGCGGTGCACAGGCTGGGTTTTGGCGGATTAAATTTGTCAATTTGGGGCTCTGCCGCAACAATCCAACCCAACAAAGCAACCCTAAAAAATTCTCAATCCAGCCTCCCTCACTCGCGTCTTCCTCTGAGCTGCAACCCTTCTCCGAGCAGCCGCCGCCTCCAGCAGCCTTCTCTTCCCTTCTCGCCATCCCCGACCCGGCGAACCCCGACCCTCGACCTCCCCGATTCAATCCGCCGTTCAACAACCCCCGCCGCCCCACTCCTTTCTCCTCTGTCTGATTCAATCTGTCGCCCCCAGCAGCTAGCCTCGGCTTCCTCTTCCTCTTCTCTTCCCCGAAGCCCAAACTCAATCTCCCTCCCACCTCAGCCAGCAGCAGTCGCCGACAGGAAGAGCTACGCTGCATCTCCATCATCCTCTTCTCTTCACCAGTAGCAGCAGTCGCCGACGGAGAGGTAGAAGAAGAAAGGAAGGATTTAGAAGACAAAAGAAGGGAAGAAGAAGAAGAACAGAGGAGGAGGCGAGTGTTCGCTGAGTTGGAGTGCAGAGATTCCGACGGAGATGACGATTCCGGCGGCGACAGTTCTTCTTCCCCATTTTCCTTGATGGTTTTCGGGATACCGGGTTCATACCGGATACCGATTACCCGGTATACTGGTATACCGACAAAAATTCGGTATCGGTATTCGGCAGCCACGACGCCAGCACCCGGTATACCGAATACCGGGTATTTGGCCGATTACCAGCCCTAGTTATACTATTTGATTTTAATAAATTGATGCATGATTTGTTGAGTCAATGGGATGCTGATCAAGTTCTTTTGATTTCTGCTTTAACCTATGATAGATAGAATCTGATTAGGTTAATAGAGCTTCTTCGATTGGTAGTGGTGAATTGATTGTACGAGAGTCAGTCAATTCACTGCTTTGTACTGAAATTCGTTCCTAGTAGAGTAGATTTGTGTGAATAGCCTTAGCAGTAAACCTCAGTGAAGGCTAGTTGCCTGCTGGGTATTCTGTCTAAGAGGGCTTGGTCAGGTTAAGAGATTTCAAGCTATTTTCGGATCTTCCGCATTCTAATCAACAGTAAAACAACCAAAGGAAATTACAACTTGGAACTAATTGAGGAGCTAAGGGGGAATCATACCTGAGCGAGTTCCCAACCTGTGATTAGATTAACTTTAACTATAGTTTGTTAGAGTAGTTATAGTTCTTCTATCTTAATCTGGTTTGCCAGATAATGAACAGAAGCTGAGTAATAGTAACTCTAAAGACCCGTTGATTCGATGTTTATTACTTTTCCACTATATTGCAGTCACTTTCATTGGTTACCCTTGGCCATTATTAGGAGTTGTGTTTTAGCAATTCAAGTTTTTGGCGCCGTTGCTGGGGACTTTCTAGATTATTAGTATTGCCGTATAGGCCAGGTCCACACACTCAGCTTAGTAGCTGACCCATTTTTCTTTCTAGATGTGACAGGTGTGATAAATTGAGGATGACTTTGGCACTGCACAATGATCGATGGAGGATTTTGGTTTAAAAGGTTTTTCACATATCGATGTACTATGAAATCCTTATTTTTACGATTCGGGTTTTGAGCATGCATGATAGTTTACAATGGTCAAGTATGATCATTAACTTGAGTTGAGTATGAAGGGAGTAGAAAAGATTGATAGTATGGGTTCAGTGAACCCTGAATTTGACGAAGATGGATTAATGAATTGAGAATATGATTTTTAGTAAATTGTTATGATGAGTTGAATTTTAAACCTATGAGAATGATGTGGATGTGAGTTGAGTCGAGATTTTGA